GCATCCCCATCCCACATGCATCCCGATCCCACATGCATCCCGATCCCACATGCATCCCCATCCCACATGCATCCCCCATCCCACATGCATCCCCCATCCCACGCATCCCCCATCCCCACATGCATCCCCCATCCCACATGCATCCCCCATCCCACATGCATCCCCGTCCCACATGCATCCCCGTCCCACATGCATCCCCCATCCCAACATGCATCCCCATCCCACATGCATCCCCCATCCCACATGCATCCCCCATCCCCACATGCATCCCCCGTCCCATGCATCCCCCGTCCCACATGCATCCCCCATCCCGATGCATCCCCATCCCACATGCATCCCCCATCCCACATGCATCCCCATCCCACATGCATCCCCCATCCCACATGCATCCCCCATCCCACATGCATCCCCATCCCACATGCATCCCCCATCCACATGCATCCCCCCCCGTCCCACATGCATCCCCCGTCCCACATGCATCCCCCATCCCACATGCATCCCCATTCCACATGCATCCCCCATCCCACATGCATCCCCCATCCCACATGCATCCCCCATCCCACATGCATCCCCATCCCACATGCATCCCCCATCCCACATGCATCCCCATCCCACATGCATCCCCCATCCCACATGCATCCCCCATCCACATGCATCCCCCATCCCACATGCATCCCCCATCCCACATGCATCCCCCATCCCACATGCATCCCCCATCCCACATGCATCCCCCATCCCACATGCATCCCCCATCCCACATGCATCCCCCATCCCACATTCCCCCATCCCACATGCATCCCCCGTCCCACATGCATCCCCCGTCCCACATGCATCCCCCATCCCACATGCATCCCATCCCACATGCATCCCGATCCCACATGCATCCCCCATCGCACATGCATCCCCCATCCCACATGCATCCCCCATCCCACATGCATCCCCATCCCACATGCATACCCCATCCCACATGCATCCCCCATCCCACATGCATCCCCCGTCCCACATGCATCCCCCGTCCCACATGCATCCCCCGTCCACATGCATCCCCCATCCCACATGCATCCCCCATCCCACATGCATCCCCATCCCACATGCATCCCCCATCCCACATGCATCCCCATCCCCACATGCATCCCCGTCCCACATGCATCCCCCGTCCCACATGCATCCCCCATCCCACATGCATCCCCCATCCCACATGCATCCCCCATCCCACATGCATCCCCCATCCCACATGCATCCCCCATCCCACATGCATCCCCCGTCCCACATGCATCCCCCGTCCCACATGCATCCCCCATCCCACATGCATCCCCCATCCCACATGCATCCCCCATCCCACATGCATCCCCATCCCACATGCATCCCCCATCCCACATGCATCCCCCATCCCACATGCATCCCCCATCCCACATGCATCCCCGTCCCACATGCATCCCCCGTCCCACATGCCCCCATCCCACATGCATCCCCCATCCCACATGCATCCCCCATCCCACATGCATCCCCCATCCCACATGCATCCCCCATCCCACATGCATTCCCCTCCCACATGCATCCCCCGTCCCACATGCATCCCCCGTCCCACATGCATCCCCCATCCCACATGCATCCCCCATCCCACATGCATCCCCCATCCCACATGCATCCCCCATCCCACATGCATCCCCCATCCCACATGCATCCCCCATCCCACATGCATCCCCCATCCCACATGCATCCCCATCCCACATGCATCCCCCATCCCACATGCATCCCCCATCCCACATGCCCCATCCCACATGCATCCCCATCCCACATGCATCCCCCATCCCACATGCATCCCCATCCCACATGCATCCCCCATCCCACATGCATCCCCCATCCCACATGCATCCCCCATCCCACATGCATCCCGTCCCACATGCATCCCCGTCCCACATGCATCCCCCATCCCACATGCATCCCCATCCCACATGCATCCCGATCCCACATGCATCCCCCATCCCACATGCATCCCCCATCCCACATGCATCCCCCATCCCACATGCATCCCCATCCCACATGCATCCCCCGTCCCACATGCATCCCCCGTCCCACATGCATCCCCCGTCCCACATGCATCCCCCGTCCACATGCATCCCCCATCCCACATGCATCCCCCATCCCACATGCATCCCCCATCCCACATGCATCCCCCATCCCACATGCATCCCCCATCCCACATGCATCCCCATCCCCACATGCATCCCCATCCCACATGCATCCCCCATCCCACATGCATCCCCCATCCCACATGCATCCCCATCCCACATGCATCCCCATGCCACATGCATCCCCCATCCCACATGCATCCCCCATCCCACATGCATCCCCCATCCCACATGCATCCCCCATCCCACATGCATCCCCATCCCACATGCATCCCCCATCCCACATGCATCCCCCATCCCACATGCATCCCCATCCCACATGCATCCCCCATCCCACATGCATCCCCCATCCCACATGCGTCCCCCATCCCACATGCATCCCCCATCCCACATGCATCCCCATCCCACATGCATCCCCCATCCCACATGCATCCCCCTCCCACATGCATCCCCCATCCCACATGCATCCCCCATCCCACATGCATCCCATCCCACATGCATCCCGATCCCACATGCATCCCCCATCCCACATGCATCCCCCATCCCACATGCATCCCCCATCCCACATGCATCCCCCATCCCACATGCATCCCCCATCCCACATGCATCCCCCGTCCCACATGCATCCCCCGTCCCACATGCATCCCCGTCCCACATGCATCCCCCGTCCCACATGCATCCCCCATCCCACATGCATCCCCCATCCCACATGCATCCCCCGTCCCACATGCATCCCCCGTCCCACATGCATCCCCGTCCCACATGCATCCCCGTCCCACATGCATCCCCCGTCCCACATGCATCCCCGTCCCACATGCATCCCCCATCCCACATGCATCCCCCGTCCCACATGCATCCCCGTCCCACATGCATCCCCCGTCCCACATGCATCCCCCGTCCCACATGCATCCCCCGTCCCACATGCATCCCCCGTCCCACATGCATCCCCCATCCCACATGCATCCCCCATCCCACATGCATCCCCCATCCCACATGCATCCCCCATCCCACATGCATCCCCCGTCCCACATGCATCCCCCGTCCCACATGCATCCCCCGTCCCCATCCCACATGCATCCCCCGTCCCACATGCATCCCCGTCCCACATGCATCCCCCGTCCCACATGCATCCCCCGTCCCACATGCATCCCCCGTCCCACATGCATCCCCCGTCCCACATGCATCCCCCGTCCCACATGCATCCCCCGTCCCACATGCATCCCCCGTCCCACATGCATCCCCGTCCCACATGCATCCCCCATCCCACATGCATCCCCCATCCCACATGCATCCCCCCCCATCCCACATGCATCCCCCATCCCACATGCATCCCCCCATCCCACATGCATCCCCCATCCCACATGCATCCCCGTCCCACATGCATCCCCCCGTCCCACATGCATCCCCCGTCCCCACATGCATCCCGATCCCACATGCATCCCGATCCCACATGCATCCCCCATCCCCACATGCATCCCCCATCCCACATGCATCCCCCATCCCACATGCATCCCCATCCCACATGCATCCCCCATCCACATGCATCCCCCATCCCACATGCATCCCCCGGTCCCACATGCATCCCCCATCCCACATGCATCCCCCATCCCACATGCATTCCCCCATCCCACATGCATCCCCATCCCACATGCATCCCCCATCCCACATGCATCCCCCATCCCACACATGCATCCCCATCCCACATGCATCCCCCATCCCACATGCATCCCCCATCCCACATGCATCCCCCATCCCACATGCATCCCCCATCCCACATGCATCCCCCATCCCACATTGCATCCCCATCCCACATGCATCCCCCATCCCACATGCATCCCCCATCCCACATGCATCCCCCATCCCACATGCATCCCCCGTCCCACATGCATCCCCCGTCCCACATGATCATGCATCCCCCGTCCTACCTACATGCATCCCCCGTCCCACATGCATCCCCCGTCCCACATGCATCCCCCATCCCACATGCATCCCGATCCCACATGCATCCCCCATCCCACATGCATCCCCCATCCCACATGCATCCCCCATCCCACATGCATCCCCCATCCCACATGCATCCCCCATCCCACATGCATCCCCCATCCCACATGCATCCCCCGTCCCACATGCATCCCCCATCCCACATGCATCCCCCATCCCACATGCATCCCCCATCCCACATGCATCCCCCATCCCACATGCATCCCCCATCCCACATGCATCCCCCATCCCACATGCATCCCCCGTCCCACATGCATCCCCCGTCCCACATGCATCCCCCATCCCACATGCATCCCCCATCCCACATGCATCCCCCATCCCACATGCATCCCCCATCCCACATGCATCCCCCGTCCCACATGCATCCCCCGTCCCACATGCATCCCCCATCCCACATGCATCCCCCATCCCACATGCATCCCCCATCCCACATGCATCCCCCATCCCACATGCATCCCCCATCCCACATGCATCCCCCATCCCACATGCATCCCCCATCCCACATGCATCCCCCATCCCACATGCATCCCCCATCCCACATGCATCCCCCATCCCACATGCCTATCCCACCCATGCACACTCCATCCCCCCCATGCAACCACCAGTTAACCCTCCCCTCCCACCTACCATGTCTTTGATGGAAGCGATGAGCCATTCTGCAGCCCCGAGCCAGTGAGCTGCTTCAGGTACCCCATGGCGGGGCCCTTGCTTTTTTCCACCCGGGGTGCTGGTGATGATGACGGCAGAGCTGCTATTCATGCAATCTATACACCAGCCGCCCCCACCCATGCACACCGCATCCCATGCAGCCACCCATGATCCCCCCCCATGCCACCACCCATGATCCCCCCCCATGCCACCACCCACCATGTCTTTGATGGAAGCGATGACGCCAATCTGCAGCCCCGAGCCAGTGAGCTGCTTGAGGTACCCCATGGCGGGCCCTTGCTGCAGTCCACGCGGGGGTGCTGCTGCAGGTACGCGTGAGCGCGTGGGTGATGGCCCTCACTCGCGGCACGTCCTCGTGCCGCAGCACAAAGGCCGCATCCAGTGTCTTGCACCCCGCGCGCGTGATGTTTGTGATCACCTGGGGGGAAGGGGGGAAATGGGGCGGGGTTGGTGTGGGGAGAAGGGGGGGGTTGGCGGGGCATGAGCCGTTGTGGTCGTCATAGGAGGGGGGTGGGTGTCACACGAGGGAGAGGGGGGGGGAGCGCCAAGGGTGCAGGTATGCTGTCAGCGCGTGGTGGGTGATGGCCTTCACTTCAAGCGAGGCACGTCCTCATGCCGCAGCACTAACGCCGCCGCCATGGTCTTGCACCGCGCGCGCGTGATGTTGGTGATCAGCTGGTGGGGGAGGTGGTGTGGTGGTTATGAGGAACAGCAGGGCGAGGCACACGCAGGTATGCTGTCAGCGCGTGGTGGGTGATGGCCTTCACTTCAAGCGAGGCACGTCCTCATGCCGCAGCACTAACGCCGCCGCCATGGTCTTGCACCGCGCGCGCGTGATGTGGTGATCAGCTGGTGGGGGAGGTGGTGTGGTGGTTATGAGGAACAGCAGGGCGAGGCACACGCAGGTATGCTGTCAGCGCGTGGTGGGTGATGGCCTTCACTTCACTCGCTGCACATCCTCATGCCGCAGCACGAATGCGGCCCTCCATTGTCTTGCACCGCGCACGCGTGATGTTGGTGATCACCTGGGTGGGGCGGGGAGGGTCGGGAGCAGGGGGGGAGGGGGGATATGGGGCAGCGGAGCAGGAAATGGTGGAGGTGGGGGGTGGGGGGTGGGGAGAAGGGAGTGGGTGGCGGGGCGTGAGGCATGGTGGTGGTCATAGCAGGGGCTATGAAGCATGACCTCAAGGGCCATGTGGGCTATGAAGCATGACCTCAAGGGCCATGTGGGCTATGAAGCATGACCTCAAGGGCCATGTGGGCTATGAAGCATGACCTCAAGGGCCATGTGGGCTATGAAGCATGACCTCAAGGGCCATGTGGGCTATGAAGCATGACCTCAAGGGCCATGTGGGCTATGAAGCATGACCTCAAGGGCCATGTGGGCTATGAAGCATGACCTCAAGGGCCATGTGGGCTATGAAGCATGACCTCAAGGGCCATGTGGGCTATGAAGCATGACCTCAAGGGCCATGTGGGCTATGAAGCATGACCTCAAGGGCCATGTGGGCTATGAAGCATGACCTCAAGGGCCATGTGGGCTATGAAGCATGACCTCAAGGGCCATGTGGGCTATGAAGCATGACCTCAAGGGCCATGTGGGCTATGAAGCATGACCTCAAGGGCCATGTGGGCTATGAAGCATGACCTCAAGGGCCATGTGGGCTATGAAGCATGACCTCAAGGGCCATGTGGGCTATGAAGCATGACCTCAAGGGCCATGTGGGCTATGAAGCATGACCTCAAGGGCCATGTGGGCTATGAAGCATGACCTCAAGGGCCATGTGGGCTATGAAGCATGACCTCAAGGGCCATGTGGGCTATGAAGCATGACCTCAAGGGCCATGTGGGCTATGAAGCATGACCTCAAGGGCCATGTGGGCTATGAAGCATGACCTCAAGGCCATGTGGGCTATGAAGCATGACCTCAAGGGCCATGTGGGCTATGAAGCATGACCTCAAGGGCCATGTGGGCTATGAAGCATGACCTCAAGGGCCATGTGGGCTATGAAGCATGACCTCAAGGGCCATGTGGGCTATGAAGCATGACCTCAAGGGCCATGTGGGCTATGAAGCATGACCTCAAGGGCCATGTGGGCTATGAAGCATGACCTCAAGGGCCATGTGGGCTATGAAGCATGACCTCAAGGGCCATGTGGGCTATGAAGCATGACCTCAAGGGCCATGTGGGCTATGAAGCATGACCTCAAGGGCCATGTGGGCTATGAAGCATGACCTCAAGGGCCATGTGGGCTATGAAGCATGACCTCAAGGGCCATGTGGGCTATGAAGCATGACCTCAAGGGCCATGTGGGCTATGAAGCATGACCTCAAGGGCCATGTGGGCTATGAAGCATGACCTCAAGGGCCATGTGGGCTATGAAGCATGACCTCAAGGGCCATGTGGGCTATGAAGCATGACCTCAAGGGCCATGTGGGCTATGAAGCATGACCTCAAGGGCCATGTGGGCTATGAAGCATGACCTCAAGGGCCATGTGGGCTATGAAGCATGACCTCAAGGGCCATGTGGGCTATGAAGCATGACCTCAAGGGCCATGTGGGCTATGAAGCATGACCTCAAGGGCCATGTGGGCTATGAAGCATGACCTCAAGGGCCATGTGGGCTATGAAGCATGACCTCAAGGGCCATGTGGGCTATGAAGCATGACCTCAAGGGCCATGTGGGCTATGAAGCATGACCTCAAGGGCCATGTGGGCTATGAAGCATGACCTCAAGGGCCATGTGGGCTATGAAGCATGACCTCAAGGGCCATGTGGGCTATGAAGCATGACCTCAAGGGCCATGTGGGCTATGAAGCATGACCTCAAGGGCCATGTGGGCTATGAAGCATGACCTCAAGGGCCATGTGGGCTATGAAGCATGACCTCAAGGGCCATGTGGGCTATGAAGCATGACCTCAAGGGCCATGTGGGCTATGAAGCATGACCTCAAGGGCCATGTGGGCTATGAAGCATGACCTCAAGGGCCATGTGGGCTATGAAGCATGACCTCAAGGGCCATGTGGGCTATGAAGCATGACCTCAAGGGCCATGTGGGCTATGAAGCATGACCTCAAGGGCCATGTGGGCTATGAAGCATGACCTCAAGGGCCATGTGGGTTATGAAGCATGACCTCAAGGGCCATGTGGGCTATGAAGCATGACCTCAAGGGCCATGTGGGCTATGAAGCATGACCTCAAGGGCCATGTGGAGGGGGAGGCGTGTGATGGCCGTCACGCACAACACGGCCTCGTGCATGAGACAAGGGAGTGGGTGGAGGTGCAGGAGACAAGGGAGTGGGTGGAGGTGCATGAGACAAGGGAGTGGGTGGAGGTGCATGAGACAAGGGAGTGGGTGGAGGTGCATGAGACAAGGGAGTGGGTGGAGGTGCATGAGACAAGGGAGTGGGTGGAGGTGCATGAGACAAGGGAGTGCATGGCGGGGCATGAGGCATGGTGGTGGTCGTAGCACGGATGGTGGAGGCCACATGAGCGAGGGGCGGGAGGGCCAAGGGTACAGAGGAGCGGAGAGAAGAGGGGGGGGGGGGAGGGCAGGGGAGGGGAGGGGAGGGGAGAGGAGGGAGAGGAGGGGAGGGCAGGGGAGGGGAGGGGAGGGGATAGGAGAGGAGAGGAGGGGGTGGGAGGTCTCACGGAGGAGTTAAAGATGGAGTTGGGGATGATGATGGCCTCCAGGTCGTCGCCCTCAATGGTGGTGTGCAGAAACCCAATCTCCTGCACCTTGCCTTTGAGCCCGCCACTCGGATCTTCTCGCGCAGTGCGAACGGCTGTGTCAGGAACAGCACCAGCCCGCCAAAGAAGTGGTCACGATCTTCTCCGACGCGAATGCCAGCGCGAACCCTGGGGGGGGGGGGGGGGGTTGGGGAGGGGGGGGGATGGGGAGCGGCAGCTCGGGGTCACACGAGCACGAGCCCGCCGAAGCCATTGGTCACCATCTTCTCGGATGCGAATGCCAGCGCGAAACCTGGGGGGCAGGAAGGGGATGGGGATGGCAATGGGGATGGTGATGGTGATGGCGATGGCGATGGGGATGGTGATGATGGTGATGGTGATGGTGATGGTGATGGTGATGGTGATGGTGATGGTGATGGTGATGGTGATGGTGATGGCGATGGCGATGCGTCTGAGTGCAGGGCGCACCTGAGATGCCACCAATGGCGATGAGCGACTTGAGGCTGACTCCGAACATGTCGGCGATGGTGATGCCCGCCACAGCCCTCAGCAGCAGCGTCAGCACCGCACTCACATTCGCCAGCACCGGCTGTTGTGGGGAGGAGGGGGGAGGAGGGGGACGGAGGGGGGGGGAGGAGGGGGGAGGAGGGGGGAGGAGGGGGGAGGAGGGGGAAGGTGAAGGGGGAAGCAGGGATGAGGAATGGAGAGGGTTAGCAGAGTGGAGAGGGAGAGAGGGACTGTTAGAGAGGGAGAGAGGGACTGTTATAGAGGGAGAGAGGGACTGTTAGAGAGGGAGAGAGGGACTGTTAGAGAGGGAGAGAGGGACTGTTATAGAGGGAGAGAGGGACTGTTATAGAGGGAGAGAGGGACTGTTAGAGAGGGAGAGAGGGACTGTTATAGAGGGAGAGAGGGACTGTTATAGAGGGAGAGAGGGACTGTTAGAGAGGGAGAGAGGGACTGTTAGAGAGGGAGAGAGGGACTGTTATAGAGGGAGAGAGGGACTGTTAGAGAGGGAGAGAGGGACTGTTATAGAGGGAGAGAGGGACTGTTATAGAGGGAGAGAGGGACTGTTAGAGAGGGAGAGAGGGACTGTTAGAGAGGGAGAGAGGGACTGTTATAGAGGGAGAGAGGGACTGTTAGAGAGGGAGAGAGGGACTGTTATAGAGGGAGAGAGGGACTGTTATAGAGGGAGAGAGGGACTGTTAGAGAGGGAGAGAGGGACTGTTATAGAGGGAGAGAGGGACTGTTAGAGAGGGAGAGAGGGACTGTTAGAGAGGGAGAGAGGGACTGTTATAGAGGGAGAGAGGGACTGTTAGAGAGGGAGAGAGGGACTGTTATAGAGGGAGAGAGGGACTGTTAGAGAGGGAGAGAGGGACTGTTAGAGAGGGAGAGAGGGACTGTTATAGAGGGAGAGAGGGACTGTTAGAGAGGGAGAGAGGGACTGTTATAGAGGGAGAGAGGGACTGTTATAGAGGGAGAGAGGGACTGTTAGAGAGGGAGAGAGGGACTGTTAGAGAGGGAGAGAGGGACTGTTAGAGAGGACTGTTAGAGAGGGAGAGAGGGACTGTTAGAGAGGGAGAGAGGGACTGTTAGAGAGGGAGAGAGGGACTGTTAGAGAGGACTGTTAGAGAGGGAGAGAGGGACTGTTAGAGAGGGAGAGAGGGACTGTTAGAGAGGGAGAGAGGGACTGTTAGAGAGGGAGAGAGGGACTGTTAGAGAGGGAGAGAGGGACTGTTATAGAGGGAGAGAGGGACTGTTATAGAGGGAGAGAGGGTGAGCAGGTGTGGCAGTGAGGGAGTGGAGAGCATGGGATGTGTGTGGGAGGAGAGCAAGGGGAGTGTGAGTGCCACCATGCCATACCACGCCGCACCATGCCATGCCATTCCACGTCGCAGCATGCCATGCCATGCCATGCCACGCCACGCCATGCCATGCCATGCCATGCCATGCAATGCAATACCATGCAATGCCATGCCACACCACGCCACGCCATGCCCAACCATCTCTCACCTTGTCCTCGGGGTGCTTAGCAGCCACGAGCTTCAAGAGGCGGTCCTTCCAGCCGATGGCAAACCACGCCAATCCATGCCTCGCCTTGTCTCACCTTGCCCTCCGCCTGCCCACCCCACCGTGCCCCACCGTGCCCCACCTTGTCGTCGGGGTGCCTAGCGGCCACCAGCTTCAGAATGCGGTCCTTCCAGCCGATGGCGAACCACGCGGCCGCCACCACGAGCGCCACGCCCCTCGCCCTCGCCATCAGCGCCGCCTGCCCCGCCTGCCTCAGCGCCGGCACCAGCACATGCAGACTGTGGTGTGTGGGGGGGAGAGAGGGGGGGAGGGGGACGGGGGAAACGGGAAGGGGGAAGTAAAGTTGGGGAAGGGGGAAGAGGGACGGGGAAAAAGGGAAAGGGGGAGTTGGAAGGGGGGAGAGGGAATGCGGAAGGGCCAAATGGGGATGGAGGAAGAGGGAGGGGGGACGGGGGAATGGGGGAGGGGGCAAAATGGGGAAGGAGGGAGAATGGAGTATGATCGAGTGAGCATGTGAGGACAAGTGAGCATGTGAGGACAAGTGAGCATGTGAGGACAAGTGAGCATGTGAGGACAAGTGAGCACGTGAGGACAAGTGAGCACGTGAGGACAAGTGAGCACGTGAGGACAAGTGAGCACGTGAGGACAAGTGAGCATGTGAGGACAAGTGAGCATGTGAGGACAAGTGAGCATGTGAGGACAAGTGAGCATGTGAGGACAAGTGAGCATGTGAGGACAAGTGAGCATGTGAGGACAAGTGAGCATGTGAGGACAAGTGAGCATGTGAGGACAAGTGAGCATGTGAGGACAAGTGAGCATGTGAGGACAAGTGAGCATGTGAGGACAAGTGAGCATGTGAGGACAAGTGAGCATGTGAGGACAAGTGAGCATGTGAGGACAAGTGAGCATGTGAGGACAAGTGAGCATACAAAGGACACCAGCTGGGCGACAAGGGGACTGACTGGCGCGTGAGGAAGGCGGCGGCGAGCGCCAAGTGCATGGGGCGGACGAGCGCCAAGTGCATGGGGCGGACGAGCGCCAAGTGCATGGGGCGGACGAGCGCCAAGTGCATGGGGCGGATGAGCACGGGTTTTGAGTGAAGTCAAAAGGGGAGAAGGGAAGAGGCGGGGCCTGACTGGCGCGTGAGGAAGGCAGAGGCGAGCGCGAACTGCATGGGGCGGACGAGCGCGCCGAACATGCTGTCTTCAAACTCCTCCTCTGTTACCTCCTCGTCGCTCATCACGTATGTTCCCCACACGCTGGGGGAGAGGGGAGGAGGGGGACATGGCGCAAGGGGAGGGGGGAGGGGGGAGGGGCGCAGAGGATGAGCGCGCCGAACATGCTGTCGCCCAACTCCTCCTCCGTCACCTCCTCGTCCGCCATCACGTACGTCCCCCACACGCTGTCACGCGCAGGGGCGGGCGCAGGGGCGGGCGCAGGGACAGGAGCAGGCGGACGCGCCGGCGCAGGGGCCGGGCGGAGTGGATGGGGAGTGCGGGTGGAGGAGAGACGGGAGCAGGGGGGAGATAGAGAAAAGGAGAGAGAGGGATTAAGCGAAAGAAAAGGCAGTTCGATGAAACGCGGTGCTGCGTGGTGCTGCACGGTGCGGGCGTGCACTGACTGCTGACATGCGTTTCGAGTCCCCACGTGCACAAGTGCAGCCCACCAACACCATCATCGCCTCGCTGCCTCTCCTGGCCCCCTGCCTCCCCGCTCGTCCCTTCACAGCCCCAATGCCTCAGCGCGACGCGCCACGTAAGCGTCTCACTGCTTCAGCGCGACACGCCCCTCTGTGGCGCGCGACTTACTGGTTGAGCGCGCGGCAGATCCTCGGCGCGCAGTAGATGACGATGAGCGTTGCCAGCCCAACGATGCTCTCGCGGAGGAAAAGGACAACCTGCGCCGCCCACACGCAGACACACAGGAGAAGGCATGTGCATGCGCAGCGAACAAGCGCACAGACGGGAGGGAGCACTGCCGTGAGCACAGAAGGAGGGTGTACTGCCGTGAGCACCCGACGCGGCAACACGGACAGCACCAACGGGCGTGTTTTGAGACGTCTCAAAACAACTCTTTCATCACGTCGCATCGCAACACGGACAGCACAAACGGGCGTGCATCGGGGTGGGGTTATACGATCGGCGTCGCGGCGTCGAGCCGATGGTACACGTCAACATGCAATGAGCAATCGTTAGACGCGTTATCATTGCGTGTACGATATAATGATGTACGTACGCGCGCGGTGTATACACATTTTCGAACTGCGAGCCAGTTCGTCGAAGTTGGTTGCATGGCTCAAACTGGAGCACGTCCTGCATCGCACACCGTACGCGCCGCGCGCCCAGGGCCCCATTCCCACCCCGACCGCGTGCCCCGCGCGACTCACCGACACCTCCGTGAGCCCGAGGCCCGCCGCGAACCCCGCCGGCACGACGCGCGAGTAGACGGCTTGCGCGACGTCCGTCAGCGCGCCGGCCTTCACCGCCGCCGCGGTCGCCGGCGGCGCCGCTACAGCGGCAGCGGCGCGCACAGGTGTGACGCGTCGCTTCGCGGAGAGCACCGGGAGTGGCGGAAGGCATGCGCCGAGAGCTGAGGCGGCGGAGAAGCGAGAGGCGGGGAATGGCGCGGCGCATCGCGGTCTAACGGTAGCCCGCGGCAGGAGAGCAGTCGACGCAAGCGATGCCATGTTGAGCGAAATGTCGCCAGGCGATGGCGAACAATGTCAGCACGAGATCCAAGTTCGCAGGATTCAATTTCGCAGGTGCTGATGGGTGGGTTGATTGCACGGGAGTTGTACGGAAATGCATTCAAAGGAAAAAGAAAGTTTGCTCCAAACCAAAACGTTGGAGTGGAGGAGGAGAGTACTGTACAGTACACGGACTTGCTCCCCCACCATCCCGCGCGGCTGGTGTCGTCGTGGGGGTGCGCGGCGTGGCGAGGCGAGGCTTCTGGTCGCCCTGCGAATCTGCGATAGGTCAGGGAAGGTACTAAATGGAGGGAAGACGGCACTGAGTGGTGGGAGTGAGTGTGGGTGCGACGTTTTCCGTCCGATCTGCAGTCACTTTGTGAACTTGCGCTGATGGCCGTCGATCTCTCTGAAACCTGCAGTCGCCAACTTGACCGCCAAGGATGTCTGCTCGATTGTGGAATGTCATCCTGAACGGTCGGATTCGGATTGTTCGATTGCCTATCTTGTTGGGCTGCGACTGGCTAAATATCTCGCGACTTCCGTGAAAGTGAGAGGGTGTCAGGTCAGGAATCGCTAATCCATAGGGAAAATATGCCACTCGTAACCAACATGGGACTAAAAAACGTATGTGGTAAAAAACTAAGGGAAAATATGTCAATGGTAACTTACATGGGGCACTATAACGCGTACGGTAACGATTTCAACGCGTTTGGTAACTCGCTTAACGCGTTTGGTAACTCGCTTAACACGTTTGGTAACTCGCTTAACGCGTATGGTAACTATACACTAGCAGCCTATCACGCAAATGGTAACTACATGAAACTTCCGCCGCAATGATTATAGCAACAAGGAATCTATCGAGTTTGCCAGCTTTTACGCACCGTTTTGACTTTTTTTTAACAGATTCCACCACAACTTTGAAGGACCCCGTTTGTTCTATTACCACAGACCGAAAAGTTTCAGAGCCATTATATATATGTATTTTTGTATATATGGCTCGTAAAAAAAGGTTAAAACCATATTTTTGATAGCATCATTGCGAACTTGCAAACTAATTAAAAAAAAAACATTCCCCGAAAGGACCTCAAGGCTTTGACTTTTTGTAATTACTACAACGTTGGAAAATTTTTGCATGTGGGAAAAATACACCTCTTTTAAATTACATGTTTTATTTTTTAAGAAATAACCATAAACGGCTTATCGCAAGGAGTTTAGGGTTGATGCTCTCAAATTCATTTGCCATCTGAAGGGGTATATATTATTTGCCCCGGCTGTACGACAGAATTAAGTACAAACAGTTAGTAAAAAAAGCGTCAGAATATCAATTATGTATAAAAAAAAATGTTTTCACAAAACTTACCTTTTTTCAATTTGCTTGAAAATCGGAAAGTGTGTCAGGATTTCGGAAAGCTTGTCAGAATTTCGGAAAACTGTGTCAGAATCTCAGAGAGTGTGTCAGAAGTTTCTGCTTCAAGATTCGTCAATTTAGTCTGACGCGAGCGGGAAAAACCTGAATCAGGGTCATTTTGGGTGGGAGTTTCATGTAGTTATCATTCACGTGATGGGCTGCTAGTGTATAGTTACCATACGCGTTAAGCGAGTTACCAAACTTGTTAAACACGTTACCAAAGGCATTAAGCGAGTTACCAAACGCGTTGAAATCGTTACCGTACGCGTTATAGTGCCCCATGTAAGTTACCATTGACATATTTTTCCCAAAAAAATAACGCGTACGATTACTGTATCGGGTCCGCTGGGGTCACGGATTCAGTCACGAATGGTCACACATGTGACTCCCGCAAAAAATACTTGAAACTTTACAATATTCCCGCTCCCTCCGAACCCTAAACATCTGGCGAGTTGTGATTAGGGTTGATTCATCTGAAAATACGCCCAGGTTCCTCTTGGGTTTTTTTTTTTTTTTTTGCGAGAGTTTTATCTGTGACCATTCGCGTGTTTTTTTACCACTTGATAGTAACTGATTCCGTGAAACGTTTTATCAATCGCGTAAAAACACCTTTCGCAATGACCTTACCCATTATTTGTTTTTACCAAAAGTATTATCAAGTCATATGTTGGTTATGAATGGTTTTTTTTCCCTAATCCATACTCTTAGATTTGTACTGCTAAGGAATTGTATACTGTTCTAGCATAATACACTGCAAGATATTAAGCATCATATGACACTTGAATGTCCATATTGTGTGAAAGTAGTAGGTAGAATGAGGAGCCATAGCTAGGAAAACCCTAGCTAGGCAAGAGAGAGTTTAGGCAAAGAGGGGTTTCACTAGCAGCAATGAGGATACATATAGCAAACCCTAGATGGGTTGTACTCGCTATAGAGCACCCCACTACAGGCTAGAGAATAACATTCTGACACACCCCCATAGCCAAAGTGGGGTGTAATCAGTACAATGAGCAAGCAGGTATAGAGCAGGAGTTCACAAAGGTAAGCAAAACTAGAGTTAATCACAGCGGGCAAGTGAGGAGGAGGAACTGTGGAGGGAGAGAAGATGGGAGGCAACGACTGAAGCTGCAGAGGCACGGGCACAGGAGCGGCTGACTCAGTGGCTACCGAAGCAAGGGCGACGGACTACTGGAGTGACTGGCTCCGCGGCTATAGACGAGCGGCAGGAGCAACGGACCCACTGGCGACTGGTGCAACAGGCTCACTGGCTACCGAAGCAAGGGCGACGGACTACAGGCGCTGCAGGCGACACGACAGCTACCTTCACACAACCTCCTCCAGCTGCCCCACACCCTCGACACATACCCCCTGCTCAAACCGTAGTTCCACTCCCACGTCACCCCCCTAGCACCACTCCTTCGGCTCCCACACACCCACCCCCCTGAGCGGCAGCTGCAGCAGCGGGAGACGGAGGAGGAGGAGGAGCAGGGAACGGCACACAGAAGCTGCACCCCCATACCCCCCACCCCCAAACCCTAATGCAGGAGAACAGGCAGCAGCAGGGGTGGGGCGCCGTCAGAACCACGGGGGACAGCGGGCAGCGCAGGGGAAGAGGAAACAGGGTGCCCACGGGCCTGGCGCAGCCCGTACGAACCGCGCGCGGGCGGCCCGAGGCGCGCGCTGGCCTGGCGCAGCCCGTACGGGCCGCGCGCAGGCTGTACGGGCCGCGCTCGGGCCCTACGCAGGTCGCGCAGGCCGCGACGGGCGACGGGGGGCGACGCGCGGGTCCCCGTCGCCCGTCGCAGCGCCTCCCGGGGGCGACGCGCGGAGTGACGGGGCAGAAAGCCGCCGCACGCCTCGGGGCGCACGGCGGGCAGAAAACCGCCGCACGCTCCGAGCGCGCGGCGGGATGAAAAATCCGTCGCACGCCACGGGGCGTGCAACACACAGAGTAACAGTAGCAGCGGAAGCAGGTGGGCCCACAGGCCAGGAGCGTAGATGCTCTGTAACCATGTGAAAGTAGTAGGTAGAATGAGGAGCCATAGCTAGGAAAACCCTAGCTAGGCAAGAGAGAGTTTAGGCAAAGAGGGGTTTCACTAGCAGCAATGAGGATACATATAGCAAACCCTAGAAGGGCTGTACTCGCTATAGAGCACCCCACTACAGGCTAGAGAATAACATTCTGACATATTGTAGCACAAATGCGGTGTTTGGCACGATCAAACATCAGGTCAGTGGAAGTGCGGAAGTGCGGTCATGTGGAAGTGTGTTGGCAGCGTGCCCGCACATCGTCAGGGTCTTCTTACAAGTAGAGAGGTAGGTGCTGTTGGCGCTTCTTCTTCTACGGCTTCGTCGTTCCAATCAGAAATTCGATCGTATCAGGATCACCTCAAGTTGTTCGCACATAGTTAATGCAGTGGAAGTAACTGACCTCATATTAGAGTGAATATAAAATTAATGAACTGATACGTCGGTTTATGTAGGAAAACAATGGGAACGCGAAACTTTATAAGGTAGATTCCCTTATAGCATCGAGAATCAACCGTGCGACGCGGGAACCGGTTACGAACCTAATCGCCAAATCTTTGGCGATGCAACTGGCCGATACTTCTTCCGCCAACGGTCGAGATGCTTCCGACTGTATGCGACGTTTCGGGTAACTCTTATATTCACATTCATACTCACTAGTGCGTGTTTATTTGTTGCGGTTAGGAATGCACAACACTAATCATTTTATTTTATTGTAACAATTATCAATTCTCATGATCAGCGGCGTGATTAGCGTCCACTAGGCTCTCATATTGGTTTCAGGGCACATTGCTTAATCAGTGCTGCACCTCCAGAATAAATTTACACTGATCAATCAGTGCTACCTGAAACGTTTACCCTATTAGTTTCCACATGAAATCGTTCTCTCTGTCAAACATTATATATGTTGTGGTTGTTTAGGCTACAGTGGGTTAGCTTTTAGGGGGTACACATTTCTAGGGTTAGGTACTTGTACTCATTTCACTGCTAGTTCAATCATTCCTGTTCGTTCATTCTGACATGGTATCAGAGCAGGTCCTTCGCTAGGACCGTTTTTTTTTAGGGCCCACCGCTACTGCCTACCTACCTACCTACCTGCGCCCTAGTGCGCCCTCGTGCGCCCTCGTGCGCCCTCGTGCGCCCTCGTGCGCCCTCGTACGTCCTCGTGCGCCTTCGTGCGCCCTCGTACGCCCTCGTACGCCCTTGTGCGCCCTCCTGCTCCCTCGAGCCGCCCCTGCAGGTCCGTCAGGCCCCCGAGCCGCCTCTGCAGACCCGTCAGGCCCCCCCCGAGCCGCCTCTGCAGGCCCGTCACGCCCGAGAGCCGCCCCTGCAGACCCGTCAGGCCCGCGCGCAGCCTCTGCCCGACCGCGCGCCGCCTCTGCAGGCTCTCGCCGCCCACCGCGTCGCCCTGTCCGCGGCGTCGTCGTCGCCTGCCCGCGACGCAGCCCCTGCCCGCGGCGTCGTCGCCTGCCCACGGCGTCGTCGCCTGCCCGCGGCGTCGTCGTCTGCCCGCGGAGTCGTCGTCTGCCCGCGATGCAGCCCTTGCCAGCGACGTCGTCGCCTGCCAGCGACGTCGTCGCCTGCCCGCGACGTCGTCGCCTGCCCGCGGCGTCGTCGCCTGCCCGCGGCGTCGTCCCCTGCCCGCGGCGTCGCCACCTGCCCGCCGCGTCGCCCTGCCCGCGGCGTCGCCACCTGCCCGCCGCGTCGCCCTGCCCGCGGCGTCGCCACCTGCCCGTGGAGCCGCCCCTGGAGCCGCCCGCCACTACAGCAGCCGCCCCTGGAGCCGCCCGCCACTGCAGCAGCAGCCCCTGGAGCCGCCCGCCACTGCAGCAGCAACCCCTAGAGCCGCCCGCCACTGCAGCAGCAGCCCCTGGAGCCGCCCGCCACTGCAGCAGCCGCCCCTGGAGCAGCCTGCACCTGCAGCAGCCGCCCCTGGAGCAGCCCGCACCTGCAGCAGCCGCCCCAGGCACCTGGAGCAGCTGCCGTCGCGGCCCGGCCTCGCCCTGCAGCAGCTGCCGCGGAGCTCCCTGCTGCGGCCCGGCCCCGCCCTGCAGTTGTAGCGGCCCCGCGGTCGCCACCGTCTTGCGCCTGCCGCGCCGACCACTGGTGAGCATTGCCCTGCCAGCACTGCTACTGCTGCTACTGCCTTTTCTACTCCCACTGCTACTGCTCCTGCTGTTACTGCTGTTACTGCCGCTACTGCTGCTACTGCTGCTCCTGGCGAGGCCAGATGCAGCTCCAGGGTCGTGCGCGTGAGTCCCTCACGCCCCAGCAGCTTCGTGAGTGGTACGCTAGTTGGGGCTGTCGGGGTGGCCGTAGTGGTAGTCGCTCTGGAGTGGGTCGGTCGGGAGCTTCTGGTAGTGGACAGGTGCAGCTGCCGTGTTCTCTTTCGCCCCAGCAGCTTCGTGCGTGGTACGCCAGTTGGGGCTGTCGGGGTGGCCGTAGTGGTAGTCGCTCTGGAGTGGGTCGGTCGGGAGCTTCTGGTAGTGGACAGGTGCAGCTGCCGTGTCCTCTTTCACCCCAGCAGCTTCGTGAGTGGTACGCCAGTTGGGGCTGTCGGGGTGGCCGTAGTGGTAGTCGCTCTGGAGTGGGTCGGTCGGGAGCTTCTGGTGATGGACAGGTGCAGCTGCCGTGTCCTGTGAGTGAGGCTGCCGCTCTAGGTGCTAGTGCGGCTGCTACCCCAGGTGCTGGTGAGGCTGCTGCTCTAGGTGCTCGTGAGTCTGCGCCCCCTGGTACTGAGTCGACTGAGGCACTGCACACCTTCACTCTGGACTCAGGTGCTTCTCGCTGTTTCTTTCGTGACCGCACTGCCCTTGAGCCGCTTGCTCGGCCAGTTGCTGTCTCCCTCGCTGACCCCTCTGGGGGTCCGGTCATTGCGACCTCCTCCACTGTCCTTCCCTGTCCACTGTCCTTCTCTACGAACTTGGTGGCGGGTTGTGCGCTCCAGGACGCGGGTGTTCACCAGTTCACCCCGGCCTACGAGCGCGTGACCCACTGCACGTGTGCTCGTACGGGCCGTCACTTGGCTACCTTCACTAGACAGCCGGGGTCGGACCTGTACACACTGACCACTGAGTCCCCTCAGGTCGCTGCGTCTGCGTCTGCGTCCGGTCAGCTGTCGGCCCCCTGCTCGTGTCGCTCTCTCGCGCACGAGACTGTCCTCTGGCACCACCGACTTGGCCACCCGTCTGTGCAGCGCCTTCGTGCCATGCACTCCCGGTACCTTGTCTCTGGTCTTCCCAGGGTTCTCCCTCCCCTCCCACCCTCGCCTGCTCCTCCCTGTCTTCCCTGTGTCGAGGGGCGGCAGCGCGCCGCTCCTCACTCCTCCTCGTTTCCCCCGACGACTGCTCCCTTGCAGACACTCCACATGGACGTGTGGGGCCCAGCCCGCGTCCGTGGTCAGGGTCAGGAGAGGTACTTCCTGATAGTTGTTGACGACTACTCGCGCTACACCACGGTCTTCCCCTTGCGCACCAAGGGTGAGGTCCCTGATGTTTTGATCCCTTGGATCCGCAGAGCTCGTCTCCAGCTCAGCGAGCGTTTCCACTCGGACTTTCCTGTCCTGCGCTCGCACTCTGACAGAGGTGGTGAGTTCTCCTCCGACCTCTTGGCAGCCTACTGTGCTGAGCACGGCATTGAGCAGTCGTTCACGCTTCCGGCCTCTCCACAGCAGAATGGGGTTGCGGAGCGCCGCATTGGCCTAGTCATGGAGGTCGCCCGTACCTCCTTGATCCATGCGGCTGCCCCCCACTTTCTGTGGCCGTTTGCGGTCCAGTACGCTGCGCATCAGCTCAACCTCTGGCCCCGTGTCTCCATGCCGGAGACCTCGCCCACACTGCTGTGGACGGGGGAGGTTGGCGATGCGTCGCGTTTCCGGGTCTGGGGATCTCGAGCCTTTGTCCGCGATACGTCCACGGACAAGCGCTCATCCCGCGCTGTTCCCTGCGTCTTCCTTGGCTTTGTCCCTGACGCGTCTGGTTGGCAGTTTTACCACGCCACCTCGCGCCGGGTCCTGCCCTCTCAGGACGTCACTTTTGACAAGTCCGTCCCCTACTACCGCCTCTTCCCCTACCGCACTGCCCCGCTCCCCCCCCCGCCTCTCTTCCTCGCACCAGGTGCTGCTGTGGTAGACCCCCTTCCCCCTCAGGGTGCCGCTCCCTCAGGTGTGTCCCAGGTAGACCCGGTTGAGCCTGTTGAGGTAGCTGTTGACTCTCGCCCTGCTGCGGGTGCTGGGCCTGGGGGTGCGGAGCCTGGGGGTGCTGAGCCTGGGGGTGCGGAGACTGGGGGTGCTGAGCCTGGGGGTGCTGAGCCTGGGGGTGCTGAGCCTGGGGGTGCGGAGACTGGGGGTGCTGAGCCTGGGGGTGCTGAGCCTGCGGGTGCTGAGCCTGGAGGTACTGAGCCTGGGGGTGCTGAGCCTGGGGGTGCTGAGACGCGGAGTCCGGTGTCTGGGGGTGCTGAGTCTGGGGGTGCTGGGCCTGGGAGTCCTACACCTGGGTGCTGGGCCTGGGATTTCTACACCTGGGGGAGCAGCTGCGTGAGTGGTACTCAGAGTACTGCAGCCTCAGGAGAGGTGCCTCTGGAGCCCGGAGTACTACTGGGACGGGTGCTGGTGCCTCCCCCCTTCCGCGTGAGCTGCCCTCTCTTGAGCGGATCCGTGAGTGGTACGAGCGGCGCTGCACTCTCCAGAGTGGCGCGCCTGGTGTCACAGACCCTGGAGCTGGAGTTGGAGCTGCTGCTGGTGCTGCGGACCCGGCCGTTGGAGCTGCTGCTGGTGCTGCGGACCCTGGATTTGGGCCTGCTGCTGGTGCTGCGGACCCTGGAGTTGGAGCTGCTGCTGGTGCTGCGGACCCCGACGTTGGAGCTGCTGCTGGTGCTGCGGACCCTGGAGTTGGAGCTGCTGCTGGTGCTGCGGACCCTGGCGTTGGAGCTGCTGCTGGTGCTGCGGACCCTGGAGTTGGAGCTGCTGCTGGTGCTGCGGACCCTGGAGTTGGAGCTGCTGCTGGTGCTGCGGACCCTGGAGTTGGAGCTGCTGCTGGTGCTGCGGACCCTGGAGTTGGAGCTGCTGCTGGTGCTGCGGACCCTGACGTTGGAGCTGCTGCTGGTGCTGCGGACCCTGGGGTTGGAGCTGCTGCTGGTGCTGCGGACCCTGACGTTGGAGCTGCTGCTGGTGGCGCTGCGCGGCCCCGGCCGTACTTCGTTCCGCTCCTTCAGCAGGTTCTTGGTCAGCCTCCTCCTCCTTGTTCTGCTCCCTCCTCCTTAGAGTGTCCTCCGTCTGTCCAGTCGCAGTCCCCGTTACCGCCTGCCTTGCCGCTCCCTGGTCCTTCTCCTTACTCTGGTCCCACAGGAGGTCTTACAGAGCGCCGTGAGCCTGAGTCTCGTCCTGTGTCGCCTGCGTCTCGCTCTGCGTCGCCTGTTCGTGCTGCTCGCACTGGTCGTCGTGTCCCGCGTGAGCGTCCTCCTCCTGTCCCTGGCACTCACTACATGACTCTGCATCCCTCCACTGCTCCTCAGCGCGTCCCTCTGCCGTCTCCTCCTGCGTCCTCTCTTCCTACTCTTCCTGACCCGGAGTCTGACTCCCTTCGTGCTGCCCGTCCTACTGTCACGCGTCTCCTCGCTACTATTGTCACTGACCCTACCTTTGAGTCCTCTGCTGCGTCTGCTCTCGTCGCTGAGTTAGTTGACTTTGCTGCCGCTTGTCGTCTAGACTACGCCGCTAGCCTAGTTGCTGCGTCTGAGTCTGTCTGTCCTCCGTCCGTCGGGGGTGAGTGTGCTCTTGGCACGGACGTCCTTGAGGACAGGCAGGAGGAGTTCCAGTGCTTTGCTGCTGCTTTGCCTCATCTCGTGTCCATGCTAGTTGCCCCTGAGGGAGACCCGGATGCACCAGACATCCCGACCCCGCGCTCTTACGCAGAGGCGATAGCGGGTCCCTACTCCTCTCAATGGCAGACAGCCATGGACGCAGAGATGGCTTCCTGGAAGTCCACAGGCACCTACGTCGACGCAGTTCCCCCACCAGGGGCGAACATCGTCAGTGGCATGTGGATTTTCAGGGTGAAGCGGCCGCCGGGTTCTCCGCATGTCTTCAAGGCGCGTTACGTTGCTCGAGGCTTCAGTCAGCGTGAGGGAGTCGACTTCTTCCAGACCTTCTCTCCCACCCCGAAGATGACCACTCTTCGGGTGCTGCTGCACATAGCCGCTCAGCGCGACTACGAGCTTCACTCTCTTGACTTCAGCACTGCTTTCTTGCAGGGTAGCCTGCACGAGGAGATCTGGCTGCGCCGCCCTCCTGGCTTCACTGGGTCGTTTCCTCCTGGTACCCAGTGGAGCCTCCGGCGGCCGGTCTACGGTCTCCGCCAGGCACCACGTGAGTGGCACGACACACTGAGGACGACACTTGCGGCACTTGGGTTCACGCCTTCTACTGCTGACCCGTCGCTGTTTCTGCGCACAGACACTTCGCTGCCGCCGTTCTACATCCTCGTGTACGTCGACGACTTGGTCTTTGCCACTGCTGACACTGAGGCTCTCGCCCACGTGAAGTCGGAGCTGCAGAAGAGACACACGTGCACAGACCTGGGTGAACTGACAAGCTATCTTGGCTTGCGGATCACCCGGGACAGAGCACGGCGCACCATTACCTTGACTCAGTCACACATGGTGCAGCAGGTCCTTCAGCGCTTCGGCTTCACGTACTCCTCGCCTCAGTCCACTCCTCTGCCTACCGGTCACTCGCTCTCAGCTCTGCCTTCGGATGAGTCCGTAGAGCCGAGTGGCCCGTATCCAGAGCTTGTGGGCTGCCTCATGTACCTGATGACCTGCACTCGACCTGACCTTGCATACCCTCTTAGCATCCTTGCACGCTATGTCGCTCCTGGCCGTCACCGGAAGGAGCACATGGATGCCGCTAAGAGGGTGTTGCGCTACTTGTGCAGTACGTCGGGCATGGGGCTAGTGCTTGGAGGGCGAGACCGAGTTGTTCTCACTGGACACTCAGACGCTTCTTGGGCGGACGACCAGGCCACTCAGCGGTCGTCTCAGGGTTACACCTTCAGCCTTGGCTCTGGTTCAGTTTCTTGGCGTTCTACACGTTCTTCTTCAGTTCTCAGCTCCAGTTGAGAGGCTGAGATCTACGCCACAGCCATGGCAGCCCAGGAGCTACGCTGGCTCACCTACCTGCTGACCGACCTTGGAGAGCGGCCTCGTTCTCCTCCAGTGCTGTACGTCGACAACAAGGCTGCCATTGCCTTGTGTGAGGAGCACAGACTGGAGCACAGAACGAAGCACATCGCTCTGCGGTACTTTCTGGCTCGTGAGCTGCAGCAGCGTGGTCAGCTTTGTCTGCGTTACGTGGCCACTCAGGCCAACACTGCTGACGTGTTCACCAAGGCGCTTCAGCCTTGTGACCATCAGCGCTTCTGTACTCTTCTAGGCCTTGTACCTACTGGACCTCACTTGCTTACTTCTTGACTTTGCTTGTACTGTGATCTCTATATATATACCTGCATGCTTTCACTTGCTAGGTTGTGATCACTGTACCTCTTGCTATATTATCAAACTGCATGTGAACTGGTCTTGTGACCACTTGCTTGTGCTCGGAATTTGTGTGGTATCTCTTGAGGTCCGCCCTGAGCTTGCTTGTGCTTTGCTTTGCTCTGACTGGTCTTGTGACCCCTTGTTCTCCCCCACTTTGCCTATGGGGGTGTGTCAAACATTATATATGTTGTGGTTGTTTAGGCTACAGTGGGTTAGCCTTTAGGGGGTACACATTTCTAGGGTTAGGTACTTGTACTCATTTCACTGCTAGTTCAATCATTCCTGTTCGTTCATTCTGACACTCTCGTGCTTCTCAAACTCATATGTCATTCCACTTCCTTTCCATTCCTAGCTAGTGACTCATAACATTGTACATATTGTACATATAAACTCTGTAAATGAAGAATGGTTACGATCTCAACTTGTCATGCTGAAGGTTCCGGGTTCGAATCCCGTTTCTGTCTCGAGTGCATCTTCACGCTCTTGGAAGAATTGTAGTTTTGCGGGAATCTCGGGCCGAATCCCTCCTGTACATACGAGAATCCTGTACACTATACTGGAAAAATCAGTGTGAACATGTAGCTTAAACTGGAAAGTCAGTGCTAATATATACATCATACTAAACTTTCAGGGAAACCAGAAAAACAACTGCAGAATCAGCGTAATCAACATGTTTTACGCTGATAAATGAGGGCCTGGCGTCCACGTAGCCAATAAGATTGGAGGCAAGTTTGTGTGGGTAAAGTTTAATGTTGAACGTTGAGACAAGTAATGCAGAGCGCGCATGAGATCTAGCAGATTTTCTACTACTGGCTTGCAGGAGTGCTAGGCGAGTACTTGCAATGTACGAGGGGCCTGACCTGCATGCAATTGAGGCGAACAACTATTGTTGTTAAAGATTGAGTTCATTTGGCGAAAGTGGTTTGTTGTCAGGTTGTTGTGCAGTAGGGAGTTTAGAGTGGTACTAGCGGAATCTTGAAGCGTTGTATGAGTGTTTCAGCGTACTTTGAAGTTGAGAGATGAATGATTTTAGGAGGGTAGGAAATGAACTAGCATAGGAACTGCGTCACGTCATTATTAGTGGCAATGTCCATGCTACTTCCCAGGATTTTCTCGAATTGGTTGAGCAGGGTATTGTCAGAGGTCCACTGGAGATCCCCGATGATCCTAGGGAAGGGTTACAGGCCCGTTGGCCTGGGGGGTTATGGGCGCACTCACCCGCTATACAAACAAGCCCTTTTATCCCAGTGGTTAGTGGCTGGGATTCTGACATGGTATCAGAGCGAAGGTCTCGGGTTCGATTCCCGGTGTGTGCACTTCGGGCATCCCAGTGCGGGGGGGGTGTCAGAGGTCCACTGGAGATCCCCGATGATCCTAGGGAAGGGTTACAGGCCCGTTGGCCTGGGGGGTTATGGGCGCACTCACCCGCTATACAAACAAGCCCTTTTATCCCAGTGGTTAGTGGCTGGGATTCTGACAGGTATTGCTAGTTCTTGTGAACAGCAGGTCGTCCACATATATAGTGAGCAGAATGTAGTGCCACAAAAGTGTAGGTGGTACACTCGCGGATCATGTTGTCAGAATCACTAGGCAAGAATGAATGAACTAACAGGAGTTTGGGTACAAAATATGAAACCCTAGTTGGGGTTGTACCCCATATTGGCTACCCCACTACAGCCTACAAGCATAATACAGTTTAACACACCCCCATAGGCAAAGTGGGGGAGAACAAAGGGTCACAAGACCAGTCCAGCAAAGCAAAGCAAAGCCCAGGGTGGATCACAACGTCACCACACTCCGAGCACAAGTAAAGGCCACAAGGCCAGTTCACATGCAGTGCTAGATATAGTACAAGACAAGCAACACAGTGATCAAAACCTAGCAAGCAAGCAACAAGATATATATAAAGTACAGTACAAAGACTGTCAAGCAGTGAGCAAGTGAGGAAACGTGGACACAAGGCCTAAAGAAGAACAGTGCCGCTGATGATCACTAGGCGGGAGCGCCTTGGTGAAGATATCAGCAGTGTTGGCCTTCGAGTCCACGTACACAAGCCGAAGCTGACCGCGCTGCTGAAGCTCTCGAGCAAGAAAGTAGCGAAGAGCAATGTGCTTCGTCCTGTGCTCCAGTCTGTGCTCCTGACACAAGGCAAGAGCCGCCTTGTTGTCACCATACAGAACTGGAGGAGAACTAGGCCGCTCTCCCAAGTCAGTCAGCAGGTAGGTGAGCCAGCGTAACTCCTGTGCAGCCATGGCTGTGGCGTAGATCTCAGCCTCACAACTAGAGCTGAGAACAGAGGAAGAGCGGGTGGACCGCCACGAGACAGAACCTGAGCCAAGGCTGAAGGTGTAACCCTGTGACGACCGCTGCGTAGCCAGGTCGTCCACCCAAGAGGCGTCCGAGTGACCAGTGAGGACAACTCTGTCGCGTCCTCCAAGCACCAGCCCCATGCCTGATGTACTGCACAGGTAACGCAGCACCCTCTTAGCAGCCTCCCAGTGCTCTCGCCTGTGTCTCCCAGGCGCAACGTAACGAGCAAGGATGCTAAGAGGGTACGCGAGGTCAGGTCGCGTGCAAGTCATCAGGTACATGAGGCAGCCTACAAGCTCTGGGTACGGGCCACTCGGCTCTACGGACTCGTCCGAAGGTGGAGCTGAGAGCGAGTGGCTGGTAGCCAGAGGTGTGGCCTGTGGTGAGGAGAACTGGAAGCCGAAGCGCTGAAGGACCTGCTGCACCATGTGTGACTGAGTCAGGGTGATGGTGCGGCGAGCTCTGTCCCGGGTGATCTGCAAGCCAAGGTAGCTACGCAGTTCACCCAGGTCAGTGCAGGTGTGTCTCTTCTGCAGCTCCGACTTCACACGAGCGAGTGCCTCAGTGTCAGCAGTAGCAAAGACCAAGTCGTCGACGTACACGAGAATGTAGAACGGCGGCAGCGACGTGTCTGTGCGTAGAAACAGTGACGGGTCAGCAGTAGACGGCGCGAACCCAAGAGCCGCAAGTGTAGTCCTCAGTGTGTCGTGCCACTCACGTGGCGCCTGGCGGAGACCGTAGACTGGCCGACGGAGACTCCACTGGGTACCAGGGGGAAACGACCCAGTAAAGCCAGGTGGGCGGCGCAGCCAGATCTCCTCGTGCAGGCTGCCCTGCAGGAACGCTGTGCTGAAGTCAAGAGAGTGAAGCTCGTAGTCACGCTGAGCAGCAACGTGCAGCAGAACCCGAAGAGTGGTCATCTTCGGGGTGGGGGAGAAGGTCTGGAAGAAGTCGACCCCCTGACGCTGACTGAAGCCTCTAGCAACGTAACGAGCCTTGAAGACAGGTGGAGAACCTGGCGGCCGCTTCACCCTGAAAATCCACATGCCATCGACGATGTTCGCCCCAGGAGGGGGAACCTCGTCGACGTAGGTGCCTGTGGACTTCCAGGATGCCATCTCTGCGTCCATGGCTGTCTGCCACTGAGAGGAGTAGGGACCCGAGATCGCCTCTGCGTAAGTGCGCGGAGTGGGGATGTCTAGTGCATCCGGGTCTCCCTCAGGGGCAAGCAACCAGGCCACGAGATGAGGTACAGCAGCCGCAAGAGAGTCAAAGTCCTCCTGCCTGTCCTCAAGGACGTCCGTGCCAAGAGCACACTCACCCCCGACGGACGGAGGACAGACAGACGCAGACTCTGACGCAGCAACAAGGCTAGCAGCGTAGTCTAGACGACAGGTAGCAGCAAAGTCAACCAACTCAGCGACTAGAGCAGACGCAGCCGAGGACTCAAAGGTAGGGTCGGTGACAACAGTAGCGAGGAGACGCGTGACTGTAGGGTGCTCAGCGCGATACCGGTCAGACTCAGGGTCCGGAACGGCAGGCAAAGAGGACGCAGGAGGGGACGGTAGAGGGACACGCCGAGGAGCAGTAGAGGGACGCAGAGTCATGTAGTGAGTGCCTGGGACAGGAGGAGGACGCTCACGACGGACACGACTAGCAGTGCGAGCAGGACGAACAGGCGACGCAGGACGAGACTCAGGCTCACGACGCTCTGTAAGACCTCCTGTGGGACCAGTATAAGGAGAGGGAGCAGGGAGAGGCGAGGTAGGCGGTAACCGTGACTGCGGCTGGACAGGCGGAGGACACTCTACGGAGGGAGGAGGACAAGGAGGAGGAGCCTGCCCAAGAACCTGCTGAAGGAGCGGTACGAAGTACGGTCGCGGCCGCGCAGCGTCTCGAGAAGCAGAAGGGACTCCAGCGGCCGGGTCCTCAGCACCAGTAGGAGCTCCAGCGTCCGGGTCCACAGCACCAGCAGCAGCTCCACCGGCCGGGTCCCCAGCTCCAGCAGCAGCTCCACCGTCCGACTCCTCAGCACCAGCAGCAGCGCCACCCCCAGAGTCAGCAGCTCCAACTCCGCTAGCACCGCCAGCGCCAGAGTCCCCAGCTCCAGTACCCCCAGTACGAGCACCCCCAGGACGAGCAGCTCCAGCACCCCCAACTCCAGCCGAGCCACTGGGACGGCGAAAGCGTCGGACGTACCAGTCACGAAGCTGCTGCGGTGTGAGAGACTGCTCAGCACCCCGAACCGGAGCACCCCCAGACGCAGTAACCCGAGGCTCCGTAGGCTCAGTAGCAGCACCCCCAGGCTCAGTACCCGCAGGCTCAGTACCCGCAGGCTCAGCACCCCCAGTCGCAGCACCCCCAGGCTCAGCACCCCCAGGCGGCAAACTCTCAGGCACAGTACCCTCAGCTCCAGCACCCGCAGTCCCAGCACTCCCAGGCCCCGCACCCGCAGGCTCAGCACCCCCAGGCGCAGCACCCCCAGGCTCCGTACTCTCAGGCACCGTACCCTCAGCTCCAGCACCCTCAGTCCCAGCACCTGCAGCCCCAGCACCCCCAGGCCCAGCACCCCCAGGCTCAGCACCCCCAGGCTCAGCACTCCCAGCAGCACCACCCGCAGCAGCACCTGAGTCACCTGTGACCTCGACAGGCTCAGCGACGGGAGGAGGGTCTACCTGAGAGACACCTGAAGGAGCAGGACCCTGAGGGGGAAGGGGGTCTACCGGAGGGGGACCAGGAGCAAGGAAAAGCGGGGGGGAGGGAGGGGGGGCAGTGCGGTAGGGGAAGAGACGGTAAAAAGGGACCGACTCGTCAAAGGTGACATCCTGAGAGGCGAAGACCCGGCGCGAGGTGGGGTGGTAAAACTGCCAGCCAGGCGCGTCAGGGACAAAGCCAAGGAAGACACAGGGAAGCGTGCGGGAGGAGAGCTTGTCCGCGGACGTATCGCGGACAAGGGCACGAGCACCCCACACCCGGAAGCGCGACGCATCGCCAACCTCCCCCGTCCAACGCAGTGTGGGCGAGGTCTCCGGCAAGGAGACACGGGGCCAGAGGTTGAGCTGATGCGCGGCGTACCGGACAGCAAACGGCCACAGAAAATGGGGAGCCGCCGCGTGGACCAAGGAGGTACGAGCGACCTCCATGACCAGGCCAATGCGGCGCTCAGCAACCCCATTCTGCTGTGGGGAGTCCGGAAGCGTGAAGGTCTGCTCGATGCCCTCCGCCTGACAGAAGGTCCTCAAGAGGTCGGAGGAAAACTCACCACCCCTGTCAGAGTGCAGACGCAGGACAGGAAGATCCGTCCGGAAACGGCGGCGGAGCTGGAGACGAACCGTGCGGATCCAAGGGATCAGAACAGCAGGGACCTCACCCTTGGTGCGCAAGGGGAAGACCGTGGTGTAACGCGAGTAGTCGTCGACAACCAGCAAAAAGTACCGCTCACCGCCCTGACCACGAACGCGGGCTGGGCCCCACACGTCCAGGTGGAGGGTCTCCAGAGGAGCCTCTGTCGGGGGGAACGAGGAGGAGTGAGGAGCGGCGCGCTGCCGCCCCTCGACGCAAGGAAGGCAGGGCGGCGCAGGCGAGGCAGGTAGGGGAGGGAGGGACCGGGGAAGACCGGACACAAGGAGGCGACGGTGCATGCCACGAAGGCGTGGCAAGGAGGGGTGACCCAGGCGGTGGTGCCAGAGAAGAGTCTGGTGCGACAGGGAACGACACTCACAGGCGTGGGCCACCAGACCTGACGCAGACACCTGACCGACAGCAGCTACCTGGGGAGACGCAGTGGTCAGTGTGTAGAGACTCGACCCCGGCCGACGGGTGAACGTAGCCAGGTGACGGCCAGTCCTGGAGCACGTGCAGATCGCCACACGCTGTCCGCCAGGGGTAAAGGTGTCAACCCACTGATCCTGGAGGACAGCGTTGCTCACCAGGTTCGTCGAGAACGAGGGGAGGTGGAAACCCGACAACGAGCCAGACGGAACCGCCGGACAAGGGAGGACAGTGGTGGACTGGGCAAGGACTGGGCCCCCAGAGGGGTCAGCCAAGGAGACTGGGACCGGTGCAGGAAGCGGTGTGAGCTCAGTACTGTCACGAAAGAAGCAACGGGAAGCACCTGAGTCAAGGGTGAAGGTGTGACAGGCCTCAGCCGGTGCGGTACCTGAGAGAGCAGTCTCTGTGGGTGCTGTACCTGAGAGAGCAGACTCGAAACCAGTCGGGACAGCACTGGAGGGAGCAAGTACACGGGGCACCATACCAGAGAGAGCAGACTCACTAGTACCCAGGGCAGCGGGCTCTATACCTGGGTCAGGCGGCACACACAAGTAACAGTCTCCCTCGGCACTAACAGTCAATGCATACATGGCAGCAATAATAGCATCATAGTCAAGAGCAAAGACATCAACACCAGCCCTCATGAGCTCAGCCCAGCGGGGGCGCTCAACATCCGCACCCATCTCCTCACGCCAAGCGTCGTCAAGGCGGGAGAAGCAGCGGTACGGGGTGTGGAACCTCCCACACGTCTGTCCCTTGCGGTCACCTGTGCGAATGACATAAGAACAGCGGGCACTGGCCCCCGACGTCCCACGCTGAGCAAGCCACTCACGAAGCTGCTGGGTCGTCTGGGGACGCTGCTGCTGCTGGGAGCTCTGGCCAGAGCCAGTGCCTCCACTCCGACCTCCGCCGCCACCACTACCACCGCTCCGACCGCCACCGCCACCACCGCCACCACCGCCGCCGCCGCCACCGCCGCCGCCGCCACTACTGCCACTGGTCCCTCCGCCGCCCCCGTCTCCACCACCGACCCCACTCCCACCAGCGCTCCCGCCACCGCTCCCTCCAGCACCGCCTCCCCCCCCACCTCCCCCACCTCCTCCCCCCCCAGCGCCACCACCACCACCCTTGCCCCCCTTGCCCTTGCCGGTGCGGCGCCTCCCACCAGGAGTAGAAGCAGCGCCAACAGACTCAGCACCAAGGAAGTCAACAGCAGTAGCAGCAGCGTAGGAGGGAGCGAGGGGAGAGGGAGAGCATCCCTCAAAGATGGGGGTGCGAGGAGCGCCACGAGCAGCACCAACAGCTACAATGCTCTTTTCGGCCGCGAGCAGGTGCTCCTCTAGGAGGGCGACTGTGAGCTCAGTGGGACAGCGAGCAAGGAAGTGGTCTCGAACTGAGCGGAGGGTGTCAGGGAGACGGGTGACTATGAAGTGGAGTGTCCAGTACAGTGGGGGGGGGTTCTTAGCGCAGAACTCGGTGGGAAGGGCGGCACGCAGGCGAGCATCACTAGTGCGAAGGTGGGTGATAAGATCGGCGACTGTAGTGAAGGTGGACAGATCGGGGAATAGGTACGGCAGCATGAGGCGGCTAAGCTCGGCTGTGGCAGGCGAGGAGTAGCGAGCGACGACAGCGTCGTAGAGGGCCTTAGCGGATTTGCAGTCGCCAAAATGCTCTAGCTCAGCTAACGGCAGGTGACTGCGAATGGCTAGGCGAGCAGCTGCGTCACGAGTCTGCCAGTGGGAACGAACACTAAGCTCAGCTGTGGCAGGAGGGGCAGGCGCAGCACCAGACGCGTAGTCATAGAGCGACACATGCTCCTTGCTATCGCTCAGGAGAAACAGCTGCAGGTCATCTAGCCAAGCGGTGAAACGCACAGGGCGGCCCTCAGCATCGAACGACAGCACGCGAATGGAAGCCATAGCGACAGTGTGACAGAGTAACGAAAGCTGCCGCAGCAGGGGAAGACGACTGTGCACGGATAGAGAGCAGCGGGCGAGGCTGGCGCTACGGGCAGGCGGCGCTGCAAGCGGTCAGTGCGACGGGAGGGCGACGCTGCGAGCGGGCAGCGCGGCGGACGGGCCGGAAAGCGGGCAGCGCGGCGGGCAGGCGGCGCTGCAAGCGGGCAGCACGGTGGGCGGGCGACGCTGCGAGGCGGGCGGGCCGCAAAGCGAGCAGCGGGCGGGCGGGCGGGCTGCGAAGCGGGCAGCGGGGCGAGCGGGCTGCGATGCGGGCGGGCCGTGAAGCGGGCAGCGATCGAGCGGGCTGCGATGCGGGCGGGCCGCGAAGTGGGCAGCGAGCGGGCGGGCGGGCTGCGAAGTGGGCGGGCCGCGAAGCGGGCAGCGGGGCGAGCGGGCTGCGAGGCGGGCGGGCCGCGAAGCGGGCAGCGAGCGGGCGGGCGGGCTGCGAAGTGGCGGGCCGCGAAGCGGGCAGCGAGCGAGCGGGCTGCGAAGCGGGCGGGCCGCGAAGCGGGCAGCGAGCGGGCGGGCGGGCTGCGTAGCGAGCGGGCCGCGAAGCGGGCAGCGAGCGGGCGGGCGGGCTGCGAGCGGGCGGCTCGGCGAGGGGCGCGCGAGGGCGCTAGTGAGAGGCGCGCGAGGGCGCTTGCAAGGGGCGCGCGAGGGCGCTAGCAAAGGGGCGCGCGAGGGCGCTAACGAAGGGGCGCGCGAGGGCGCTGACGTGGGTGCGCGCGAGGGCGCTAACGAGGGTGCGCGCGAGGGCGCTAACGAGGGCGCACGAGGGCGCTACGAGGCTAGGGAACGGGGTAGCGTGGTAACCGCATGCGAGCGGTGGTGGGCCCTAAAAACGATCGGTAGGTCCTAGGGACCTCCTGCTCTGAATACCATGTCAGAATCACTAGGCAAGAATGAATGAACTAACAGGAGTTTGGGTACAAAATATGAAACCCTAGTTGGGGTTGTACCCCATATTGGCTACCCCACTACAGCCTACAAGCATAATACAGTTTAACACATGTAATGCCTGAGCGAACCCGATGTCGAGCAGGATTTTGTGCAGGTGTTGCTGCCATAGTCGAGGCGCTTGCTTGATGCTAAACGGATATTCTTTTAGCTGGTATATTCTAGATCCCCTTTGCCATAGGTGTACGACTTCTCCATGACGATGACGCGTCCACCATTGTGTATAAGAATGCGTTTTTAACGTCGACATGTCGGAATGGAGGTTCTTGATGCCAGTGATGGCGAGCATAATTCTTACGGTGATTTAATGACTAACGGGAGCGAATGTTTGATTGAATTCAACCCCCCTGACGTTTGTCATAGCCGCGCATGACCCAGCATACATTGAATTGCTCAATTGTGCCGTCAGCTGCAATTGTTGTTGTTGTTGTTTTTTTTTTTGTTTTTTTTCGAAGTTTTTTCTTTATGTTTTTTTTTTAGTTTTTTTTTTTAAGTTTTTAGTTTTTAGGTTTTGGTTTTTTTTTTTAATTATTATCATTTTTTTTTTATGCGGAACACCTATTCTTCTGATTGTACCCTCCCCCGTTTTATTGCGGCTCTATCAACGAGTACCAGGTGTCGCACCACCTAAGCCTTCCGCTGCTACTGCTACTGCTACTGCTACTCCCTGTCCGCCGCGCGCCCCGTGGCGCGCGGCGTCGAAACTAGGGTTTTCAGCCCGCCGTGCGCCCCGAGGCACGCGGCGGTTTTCTGCCCGCCGTGCGCCCCGAGGCGCGCGGCGGTTCTCTGCCCGCCGTGTGCCCCGAGGCGCGCGGCGGGTTCCTGCCCCGTCACTCGGCACGTCGCCCCCGGGAGGCGCTGCGACGGGCGACGGGGACCCGCGCGTCGCCCCCCGTCGCCCGTCGTGGCCTGCGCGCGGCCCGTACACCCGGCACGCGGCCCGTACGGGCTGCGCCAGGCCTGCGCGCGGCCCGTACGGGCTGCGCCAGGCCCGCGCGCGGCCCGTACGGGCTGCGCCAGGCCCGCGCGCGGCCCGTACGGGAAGCGCCAGGCCCGCGCGCGGCTCGGGCCGCCTGCGCGCGGTTCGGGCGGCTCTACCAGGCCCGTGGGCGGCCCGTTCCTCGCTGCTCCTGCCCTCTCCACTGTCCCCCGTGCTTCTACCGGCGCCTCACCCCTCCTACAGCCCGTTCTCCTAAATTAGGGTTTGGGGGTGAAGAGTGTGGGGGTGGCGGCTATGGGGGTGTCGGTTGTGAGTTCCTCCCCCTGCTCCTCCTCCTCCCTCGTCTCCCTCTGCTACAGCTGCCGCTGAGGGGGGTGGTGTGTGGGAGCCTAGGGTTTGGGGTTTAAGGGGGGTACCGTCGGAGTGGAGCTAGGGTGTCAGCAGGGGGTGTGTGAGAGGGGCGTGGGACGGTCGGGGGAGATTGCGTGGAGGTAGCCGTCGTGACGCCAGCAGCGCCAGTAGTCCGGATGCCCTCGCGCGTTTCGGTAGCCCAGCGAGCCTGCTTCGCCAGTCGCCTGTGGGTCCGTTGCTCCTGTGTGTGCTCGTCGTAGCCGCGGAGCCAGATACTCCCGTAGTCCGGTGCCCTCGTGCGCTCGGTAGCCACTGTGCGCGCCGCTCCTGTTGCCCGTGTGTCTGCAGCTTCAGTCGTCGCCTCCACTCTTCTCTCCTCTCGCCAGCCCTCCTCCTCCTCGCTTGCCCTCTGTGACTGCCTCTAGCTTTGCTCATAACTGTGAACTTTAAACTATTGCTTCTTGAACTTGTGCTCAGAATGTGTGGTGACATTGTGATCCACCCTGAGCTTGTACTGCTTTGCTTGCTCTGCTGATTACACCCCACTTTGGCTATGGGGGTGTGTCAGAATGCTATTATTGTCTAGCCTGCAGTGGGGTACTCTATAGCGAGTACAGCCCAATCTAGGGTTTGCTATTTGTACTCAACTGCCTGCTAGTTCAACCCCTCTCCTTTTATTCATTTCTTGCCTAGTTCTGTTAACAGTGACGCCCTCTAGTGGTGAACTCATGCACATCGTCGTCGTCGCTTTCAGGTGCAGATGAAGCACTTCGCACGGGGTGGCTGTTGCGTGATGGTCCTTGCAGAGCTTCGTCGTCGCCGCCGCAAGACAGAGGGTTTAAAGCCAGGGTGCTTGTCAGGTAAGTTATGATCGAGGATCACGGTTGCGGCTAGGGTTTCGGGAGTGCCGAAGCTGCGGTCGACATGGGCGTAAGCCATCGCTGCCACCCTTCGTTGACCTTCCCGGAGCTGCGTCAGGGTGAGTCGCTCAAAGAACTGGTCGTCGAGTGCAGATCGGGTTTTCTTGCTTTCCAGGTCGAAGATGATACACCACTAGTATTCGTACCTGATGCCCAGAAGGCGATGTGAGGGAGCCAGGGTTGTAAAAAAATACGGCAGAGAATGTCCTTCCGAGAGTTGGGGTTGTACGCGAAGCAGTGTAACCCGTTAAAACCGGAGGGCCAAGAAGGCCCAAATTGGTTCAACCTTCCTAACCTCGGTTGAGTTTGGCCCTCGCACCCATAACCTTGGCCAATTGTGTTGGCTTGCCCTAACCAACCTTCTGAACGTTGAAATTCTTGGCCCGCGAGTTTTAAGGAAGAATATATATCCGTACATTTTTTAATTCCTTATCCAAGTAAAATATTTTTGGAAGGACAAATACGTAGCACAAAAAGCCCCATAATGTTGCCGATTCCTGCTACACACAATGCTCAGCTGTTGCGTGCAGATTTGGTCTGCCCAATTTCGAAAGCCTGCCAAATCGCATTTGGTATCAGCCAGTTGTATGTGTCGAAGCGAAAGGTCCCGCCCTCGCTTAGGCGCAGACATTCGCTGCAACGACATGGTGAATTCGACAAAAGCGGTCGTCGAATTTGGTGTCGGGCTTAGGCGACAGAGATCGTCATCAGCTCAGGGTGGTTTTCGATGAGGCTGTTCTCTGGTCGGCTAGCCCATTGACAAGCTCTGGTCGACGGGGTGCTGTTCGACGAGCTCGTCCTCTGATCTGCTGGTGAGTCACGCGAACTCTGACGGATGGGGTGCTTTCCAAGGAGCCTCGTTCTCAGATCGAAGGCCGCTGTTCGGCGATCCTTGTCTCAGCGAACTGGTCGACCGAATTTGCGCAACTGCGAAACTCTGCGAAGGCATGCGGAATTCGCTCAAGTGGTTTTTAGCGAAATTCGACCTGCGGAACGGCATCACGTACTCAACGGTGGACACATGGCGAAACTGTCGGAACGTTTTATACTTGGCACCTGCGCAATGTCTCTGACGGTGCAACCGTCTACCTGCACCTACTTGGTAGGTGCGCACACCTACGCAGATATTGACATGTGAGTGCAGTGCTGGCAGGCCGCCCTGCTGCAGCGTTGGCGAACCGCTCTGATGCAGTGCTGGCAATTCGCCTTGCAAAATGCTTGTTAGGGGTTCCAATGCCATTCTAGTCATATTGATTGCGTGCCTCATTTTTGTACTCTAATTCTCAATTCTCAATGTTCTTTCAAATTTCATTAGTAGAACTCTTGCCAAATTTCTCTGTGAACACAGCAAGTAGTAAGAACGTTGCTAGAGCGTTACGATCACTCGCACAACCCCGTGCCCTCCTCCGTAGTCCACTCCCGTTGTAGGGTGACTCCCCGCAGCACCCACGGTACAAGCCCCTTGTCTAATAGCAACCGTTGAAGGTACAGCTTATCACGCTATCATCCATCCGTTCGTTAGATATTTTGAAGATGCTGGTTACATTGCTTCACGTGCCTACTACAGTCTAAAGTTCACAAGTGGCGAATGTTGGCGAGGCAGCGAAATGGTTGTTGCTCACAAAACACCAAAATGACGAGTAAAGTCGTGGGTCTGTAACGGGCATCTGGTGTGCGGTTTTGTGTTTCTGTCCGTCCCCACTTGAGTGCAACGAACATGCCATGCCACTCTCGTCAAAACGTGGAGTTTGGCAGCAAGGGCGATCAAGCCACGGCGCGCCACCTGGCAGGCAATTGCAGTGGAGCGACGGAGTCCAATCAAACCAGCCCACCTCGCTGGAGCCGAAGCCACTTGACTGTGTGTGTCCGTTCGGCCCACACCAGTCGCCACCTTGTTCCCAACCGCCACCACCCTCTCTGTTCGTCATCACCAGGTCCTATTCCCGGAAGTTCTGTTCGGGAACAGGGCTCATTTTTCACTCTTCCGAAAAAAAGTGAAATCCGCGTGCCCCTCGGCTGGGCCGAGTGGCGCGCTACAAAATCCGGGTGCAGGCCGGGTAAAATTTCTGCTAACTCTTTCTTGTACAAACTTTGTATGTGCAGTCGCATTTCGAGGACTTAGCCAAATTCTCAAGCTGATCCAATCTTCGACTCGCAATCAAGAACTTAGCCAAATTTGATGTCACCCATTCTTTGTGACTCGCAGACAAGGACTTGGACTGTTCAGCGTTCGCTATTTTGGCGATGTTCAGAAGAAAATGAGTGGGGGTGATTTTGTACTTGCACAGAAGGGCCGAGTGGAGAACTCAGGCATCTGGCCACAGCAGCCTAAAAAAAAATTGGACCCTGAGGTTGGCCGAGTCACAATCGCGGCAGCTCGTTTTTTGCCGAGTGGGCCTAAAAATCCACCCGGATTTGAATAGTAGGCCGGGTAAATCACCCTGAAAAAACAGGCCCTGTTCGGGAAGTCCAAAACTGCCCCGCGGTTCAAAAACGGCACAAGCACGCAAGCACACCTGTATCACAGCGAGAGTGTAACGACGAAGCCCCTCACATAAAGAAGCTGCCTCCCACGATGGACACTATTGCGCGGGAGTGCTTAGGACCGCAGAAACAGACAAGGAGCCCCACAGCGCCACCAGCTTGACAAAGACATCTTCCCCATGGCATCCATCGTCGTTTGTAGATGCTGCAGAAACTGCTTTGCCCTCTCCTCCACTGAGCCCATTCAGAATCAACTTCAGAAAAGCACATGACGGTTTTGTTTGTGTTTCCGTTGGACGGTGGGAGGGAGCACATGCAGGGCTGCGTTGCTTCGTGTCGTGCGTGGTATGGAGCAGCAGCAAGGCATTACTTCACCTTAGCTCCAGCAGCCTATGTTGCACATCAAGCAAGCAAACAGAAACCTCCGTCTCTCATTCCCGTCAATTCGCCTCCCATTGTTGCATCAATCACTCAAGCGATTCTTCTCCGCGCGCGCCATGGCCAAGATTCACGCGGACTGCTCGCATCTCGTCGACACGAGGTGGCTGTGTCTGTGCGTGCGGCTGCGCCTCTTCACGCTCTTCGAGCTGCTCTTCGTCTCCTCGCTACTCTGCCTCCTCGTCTTCGCCCGCCTCCCCCTGCCGTGCACCAACAAGGCCGCCCCATCGGATCAACCTGTCGCGCCAATCCCGTCGCAGCCCGCACCATCAGATAATCCGTCCGCCCCGCCTTCCACGCCGCCCAGCGCGCCACAGCGGCAGCCAGAGGACGATCCGTCGCAGCACCTTCGCCGTTTCGTATCGCCCGACTTCTACCGCCCCCGCCTCGCCCCGTGGGGCCGCCGCGCCTCCGCCACCGGCAACACCAAGGCCGCGCAGCCGCCGCCGTCAGGAATGTGCATCGCCATACCGTCGGCGCCGCGGTTCGACCCAGAGGGCGAGGAGAAATCGTGGCAGCGCGTGGAGAACCTGCTGCTGGCGCTCGACGCGCGGCGAGCGCGGGAGCGCGACGGGCTGCTGGAGCGCGCGATGCGCGTCGTGGTGTACAGCTCGGGCTGCCGCGTCGAAGACCCCGCCAGAAGGGCCAGTGCACCGGGCGCACCCAGCGGCGCAACCCCCTCCGCGTTGGTGCGGGCGGCGGCGGTGCTGGCGCGCGAGGCGAACGTGAGCGAGGCGTACGCACGGCCGCTGGTGGGGGCTCTGGCGCAGGACGCGGCGAACGTCAATCCGCTAGTGGACGCGCACACGGCGGCGATCCAGGCGGTGGCGGAGCGCATGGAGCTCCCCGTGGACGTGCTCCCCGCGCACCCCGACGGCTGCGCGCTGCTGGGCGACGCCGACCGCCTCCTGCGCTCCGCGCCGCGCGAGCACGTGGAGCGCGACGGGTGGCAACGGTGGCGATGGCACACGAAGCTGTCGATGGACTTCGCATACGCCGTGCGACAGTGCCTGGCGACGCGGCCGCGCTACGTGCTGTTGCTGCAGGACGACGCGTTCCCCGCGCGCCTGTGGGACGTGGGCATCGAGCGCTTCATGGCGCGCGACCTGCGCGGAAAGGCGCCGTGGGACGTGCTGTCGCTCTACTACCCGCGGTCGTACCGCTGGAACCTGCGGCACGCGCAGGAGTACGACATCCCCTGCTGCGCGCAGTCGCTGCTCTTCTCCGCCCGCTCCGCCGCGGAGGCGGTGGCGCACGTGGAGCGCGGAGTGACGCGCGCGCCCATGGATCTGCTGCTACACGAGTTCATGGGCACCGCGGGGGAGGGCGGGCGGCAGAGGCGTGCGTACGTGCACGTGCCGTCGCTGTTCCAGCACACGGGGCGCGTGCGGTCCACGGGCCAGGGCCGCGAGAAGGCGAGCTTCCACGAGGACGTGCAATTCCCCGACGAGCGCGTCGACGCGCCCTACAGCGCTGAAGAGAAGCTCGCGCTGCTGCGCGGGAAGGCGGGCGCGCGGCGCGCGGAGGGCGCGTACGGGCAGGTGGAGCCCGACGGGTGGCACGAGTTTCTGCAGAAGCAGCAGCAGGAGCTGGCGCAGCAGATGGCGGCCGCCGTGCGCGAAGGAGGCGGCGGCGGAGAGGATGTCGGCGGCGCGCGGAGATCCGCGGACGAGCGGATCGGAAGAGCGTCTGGCGGAGAGGAGGCGCGGAGCAGCGTTGAGCAGCAAAGAGCGGGAGGGGGTGGCGAGGAGGCAGCGGTGGCATTGTCGTCGAGTGGGCAGCAGGTGGCGTCTGAAGGCGAGAGTGCGGCGAGTGCGGCGCGCATGGCAGGGCTGCAGCCGGAGCTGAGGGTGGGGGTGAGCGGCGACGCGCTGCGGCGGCACTTCCTGATGAAAGAGATGATGATGACGATGGCAGCGCCCGCCGTGGAGAGATGATGATGATGATGGCGCCTGCCGCAGGGCACGCGGAGGGCGGATGACTGCTGACCAAGCAAGCACGCCTGGAAGGCCTACCCAGGCTGCTGCATGTAGCATAGTAGGCGATACTAACCCACTCGTGGATTGATTTGCAGTGCTACTACTGCTAGACACTACTAACCCGTCAATGCTGTAATGGTTTTTTAGTGCTCTTTAATTATGTTTACTGTATTGATGTTCTTCTCCATTGTATCGGGTGAGAAACGAATGCTGACGGTGGAAGCCGAGGGGACGCCCAGTCCTGGATGGGCATAATGCGGAGCGCCTACTCGCCTCGCCAACTCAAGAGAACCGCCGAGTTGTGAAGCACCGACAATATCCATCCTGTTGGGATGGCTAGGAGGCCGTTCTGGGAGCAGGTTATGGGGGAACGGGGCGAGTAGGTCGCGATGAATGCCCAGATCCTCTGAACGGGCGCAATGTGTCCGTCGCCTCCCGTGTACCACACCGTGCTTCCACCACGCCCAGATTAGGGTAATTCCCAAATCGCTCTTCTGAACGCCACACGCTGTTTACTAGCCGCACTTGTAGGAGAGCAGCGATTTCGCAATCCCGCGGTCAATGTCGTCTGTAGCCGCGCGCATCGTTCTCCATGCATCCGCACCGTCGCGCGATGCGGCGCGGACGTAAGTCGCGAGAACGATCGAAGCGCCGCGGTGGCGGGAGCGCAAGTGAGTGCAGTCGATCTGAGTGGCCGTGACGCCCGGCGTTAGTCGCGCGCACACGCGACATTAGTGCGGCAGGTTAAGCGATTTCTTGAGCCGCGCGCGTCTGGCGACTGTCGCCCTCATCCGTCGTCGCCATGCATCGTCGCTCGTCGCGCGCGCCCGCGGGCGACGGGGGCAGTCGCAGGGCGCGGCTGTACCTCGTGGGTGCCGCCGCCCTGCTCGTCTTGGTGAGCCGCCCCTGCTCGCCCTGCTGAAATGAGCCGGCCGCTCTGATGGCGGGTGGCTGATGGCGCGAGTCAGTCAGAGAGCGCATCGCGCATGCCTCCCCCGGCCCTCGGCTTCCCCCTTTCCCGCATGCAGTCCTGGCATCATCCCCCGCGCTCACCACTCCGCATCGCCATCCCCTTCCCAGCGAGTCTGAGTCCGCCCATGCGGGCTCACCCACTGCCCCACCTCCGCCTGCTGCGCCACCCACTGCCCCACCTCCGCCTGCTGCGCCACCCACTGCCCCACCTCCGCCTGCTGCGCCACCCACTGCCCCACCTCCGCCTGCTGCGCCACCCACTGCCCCACCTCCGCCTGCTGCGCCACCCACTGCCCCACCTCCGCCTGCTGCGCCACCCACTGCCCCACCTCCGCCTGCTGCGCCACCCACTGCCCCACCTCCGCCTGCTGCGCTACCCACTGCCCCACCTCCGCCTGCTGCGCCACCCATCTCACTCATTGCACGTCCCTCACTCGCCCCTCGCCTCCTACCATATCTCGTTTCATCTCTTCTCCCCTACCGCCCTCCTTCCCCACTCCTGCTTTCACCCTTACCTTCTCCCCCCATCTCCCTTTCCCTTCACCCCCTTCCTCTTCCCATCCCCATTGTGTCTTCCCTTTAGCCTCCCCGCATCCCTCTCTCCTCTCCCCCTCGCCCTCCCTCACTGCCTCGCCCGCCAGGCCCCCAGCCCCCGTGATGTTCCGCCAGCGCTGTTCTCCGATCCGCATGACTGACACCACAACACGCCCCCTTGCCTGCCTGGCAGGCGGCGCTCACCCACCTGCGCACGCGCGCTCTGCTCTGCCCCCCCGCGCCACTGCCCGCGCACGTGCTGGCGGGGGAGGGGGAGGGGGAGGGGGACGGCACGGCACCCTCGTCTGCAGGCGCACTGCCTGCTGTGGAGGTGGGCAGGCAGGGGGGGAGTGCTGCACGGCACGAGCAGGGGGAGGCGGGCAGGGCGGGGCAGAGCAGCACGCAGCAGCAGGCAGTGAGGGGGTGGGAGGGCGGGCAGCGGGAGAGGGCATCGGGCCTGCACTCCCTGTGGGCGTCGCTGGCTGCGTCGCGCTCGTCGCAGGACTGCTGGAGCCGAACTGAGATGCACGCTTACATGCCGGTGAGGGCTGCCTGTTTCTCTTCCTGCTTGCTACCGCATCCTCGCCACTCGCCCATGTGCTGTTTCACACACACGCCAGCACTGACTGCTCTCTTCCTATCCTGCCCCTCTGCAAACGCTCCACCGTTGCTGCCCTCACCAGAGCGCCTGTGTGTTCATTAGTAGCCGCCCCTGCCTGCCTGCTTGCCAGCTTATGCCACCCTCCCCTCTCACACCTTTCGCCTTGAGTGCTGTCCCCCGCAGGCCGCCCACTCCCCCGCCCCCTCCACAGCCTTCACGCACCGTGTGCGGCGCTACCAAGCCATGCACCGCCGCTGTGCCGCCCGCCTCGACTTCCAACACGGCCTGCCGCCCGCTGATGCCCTCAGGTGTGTGCGCTCATGCCTTGAGGTGCGCTCATGCCTTGAGGTGCGCTCATGCCTTGAGGTGCGCTTTTGTGGGGCGTTGATGTGGGGTGGCAGCAGGGGGTAGCAGCACGGGAAGCCGGATGCACTCTCCTGGTGTCACACCCTCTGCCGCTCACATGTCACCGTGCTGCCTGCCTCACTGCGTGTGCGTGTGTGTGCTGCTTGCCTCACTGCGTGTGAGTGCGTGTGTGTGTTGGCAGGGCGGTGGTGGCAGCAGGGAGTGCAGAGGGCCATGCGCCATGTCAGTACCTCTTCTACCGGGACCCCATCGCTGGTCAGCCCTGCCCCTCTGCCGCCTCTCTCCCTGCTCTGCCTCTCCTGCCTCTGCTACCTCTGCCACATGTGCTGCATCTGTTGGGTCTGCGTTCACTCTGCTGCCCTGCCACCTTGGCCACCCAGCTTTGAGTGTGCCAGTCGTTCCTTCTCAACGCATGGCTTCTACCCTCCGCTCTACCCACATCGCCCCGCATCGCCCCACGTCGCCCTGCATGTTCACACTAATCCCCCCCCGCCCTTCGCCCATCATCCCCTCCCCGTCGCCCTGCAGGAGTGGGCAATCGCATACTGGCACTCGTGTCGGCATTCACCCTAGCCCTGCTCACCAATCGCACGCTGCTGCTGTCCGCAGCCTCCTTCCCCGCCACGGCCTTCTGCCAGCCCTTCAACGGCTCAGACTGGACCATCCCTGCTGCCCACTTCGAGTGAGTCAAAGGGGATTCACACCCGCCTGTCTCTCTTGCTCTGTCCCGTCCGTCTCTCCTTGGTGATTGCAGTGCCTCTGCCTTCTGCCAGCCCTTCAACGGCTCACACTGGACCATCCCCGCTGATCACTTTGAGTGAGCCTGCTGCCCAACTGCTTAAAGAAAGGCCGTGAGCCCACCATCGCCACCTGCACGCACTCAGCCAGCCCAAAGGGATTCGTCGCTCACCCTCCATTTTGCAATTGCTTGCTCTTCCCTTTCAATGATTGTGATTGCCGTGTGTGCCATGCCATGCACATGTTCCTGCATTGGCATGTGTGCATGTACGTGTGCGTATGTGGGTGGATGGACCCCGTGGCAGGGCGATAGTGAGCAACGTCGCCAAGGACGCCAAGCCCAACGAGTTCCCTCCCTCCAACCGCTCCCTGCACCTAGACTACCCGTGAGCACCTTGACTACCCGTGAGCACCTCCATTACCCGTGAGCACCTCCACTACCCGTGAGCACCTCCACTACCCGTGAGCACCTCCACTACCCGTGAGCACCTCCACTACCCGTGAGCACCTCCACTACCCGTGAGCACCTCCACTACCCGTGAGCACCTCCACTACCCGTGAGCACCTCCACTACCCGTGAGCACCTCCACTACCCGTGAGCACCTCCACTACCCGTGAGCACCTCCACTACCCGTGAGCACCTCCACTACCCATGAGCACCTCCACTACCCGTGAGCACCTCCACTACCCATGAGCACCTCCACTACCCGTGAGCACCTCCACTACCCGTGAGCACCTCCACTACCCGTGAGCACCTCCACTACCCATGAGCACCTCCACTACCCGTGAGCACCTCCACTACCCGTGAGCACCTCCACTACCCGTGAGCACCTCCACTACCCGTGAGCACCTCCACTACCCGTGAGCACCTCCACTACCCGTGAGCACCTCCACTACCCGTGAGCACCTCCACTACCCGTGAGCACCTCCACTACCCGTGAGCACCTCCACTACCCGTGAGCACCTCCACTACCCGTGAGCACCTCCACTACCCGTGAGCACCTCCACTACCCGTGAGCACCTCCACTACCCGTGAGCACCTCCACTACCCGTGAGCACCTCCACTACCCGTGAGCACCTCCACTACCCGTGAGCACCTCCACTACCCGTGAGCACCTCCACTACCCGTGAGCACCTCCACTACTCGTGAGCACCTCCACTACCCGTGAGCACCTCCACTACCCGTGAGCACCTCCACTACCCGTGAGCACCTCCACTACCCGTGAGCACCTCCACTACCCGTGAGCACCTCCACTACTCGTGAGCACCTCCACTACCCGTGAGCACCTCCACTACCCGTGAGCACCTCCACTACCCGTGAGCACCTCCACTACCCGTGAGCACCTCCACTACCCGTGAGCACCTCCACTACCCGTGAGCACCTCCACTACCCGTGAGCACCTCCACTACCCGTGAGCACCTCCACTACCCGTGAGCACCTCCACTACTCGTGAGCACCTCCACTACCCGTGAGCACCTCCACTACCCGTGAGCACCTCCACTACCCGTGAGCACCTCCACTACCCGTGAGCACCTCCACTACCCGTGAGCACCTCCACTACTCGTGAGCACCTCCACTACCCGTGAGCACCTCCACTACCCGTGAGCACCTCCACTACCCGTGAGCACCTCCACTACCCGTGAGCACCTCCACTACCCGTGAGCACCTCCACTACCCGTGAGCACCACATGCCCGTGCCATCACTCCCTGCCATGAGCTTCGGAATCAGTTATGGCATCTGTACTCTCCATTCAATGCAATGTGTGCCATGCGTGTCATACCATACCGCCCCTGCACATGCCATCTATCCTCCAAACATCTCACTCACTACTCCACGCACATTGCCACGAGTGGGTATGCCTCATCGCCCATCCCATCAACCTCACTCCCGGGCGGGAGGAATCTGGTTCTGGTGGAATCTGGTTCTGGTGGAATCTGGTTCTGGTTCATGGTGCTTTTTGAGGTGGAACATGGTTCTCAAAAACAGTCTTTTGTCTCATGAATCCCACTCCTGGGCGGCAGGAGCGGCTTCTGGTGGAACGTGGTGTGTGACGAGGAGCAGCAGCGCATGGCGCGCGTGCCAGTGCTGCTCTTCACCTCCTACTTCTACACGCTGCCGGCCCTCTACTTCCGCCCCTCCTTCCAAGTACCGCACTCTACTTCCGCCCCTCCATCCAAGTACCGCCCTCTACTTCCGCCCCTCCTTCCAAGTACCGCCCTCTACTTCCGCCCCTCCTTCCAAGTACCGCCCTCTACTTCCGCCCCTCCTTCCAAGTACCGCACTCTACTTCCGCCCCTCCTTCCAAGTACCGCAACTGCCCTCCACATGCCACCTCTTCCTTCACCACCATTCCTACCGTTTATGCCCTTCCCCTCATGCCGTGCCCCTCACGCCTCTTCCCTCATGACCACTGCTTGTCTGTACTGTCGTTCCACTGCTTGTCTGTACTGTCGTTCCACTGCTTGTCTGTACTGTCGTTCCACTGCTTGTCTGTACTGTCGTTCCACTGCTTGTCTGTACTGTCGTTCCACTGCTTGTCTGTACTGTCGTTCCACTGCTTGTCTGTACTGTCGTTCCACTGCTTGTCTGTACTGTCGTTCCACTGCTTGTCTGTACTGTCGTTCCACTGCTTGTCTGTACTGTCGTTCCACTGCTTGTCTGTACTGTCGTTCCACTGCTTGTCTGTACTGTCGTTCCACGCGCTGCTCTGCTCGCCCGATTCATCCCCTTCTGCCTACGCCTACACGCTCCACCGTTCCCTTCAACCCGTCGTCACCTTCACCCACCCAACCCCATCGCACCCCACCCCTCCGGGCCACTCTGGACCGCTGGTTCCCGGACCAGTGGCCGTTCACGCACGTGGCTTGCTGGCTGCTGGACCCAGACAACTTCCTCTGGCTCGCCATCTCTGCCTGGCACCTGCATGACCTGCCGCTCCCCACTGTCCCCGCTCTCACCTTCACGCCCACCCCCACCACTCCAGGTCGCCCTCGACAGCTGGTTCCCGGACCGCCGCCCGTTCACACATGTAGCGCGGTGGCTGCTGCACCCGGCCAACTTCCTCTGGCTCGCCATCTCGCAGGCCTTCTCCGCCTACCTCGCCCCCCACAGCCCCCGCCTCGCCCTGCAGGTCCGCCTGCCTCATGCCCTGCACTGCACCTCATCCTCTCATGCCCTGCACTGCACCTCATCCTCTTATGCCCTGCACTGCACCTCATCCTCTCATGCCCTGCACTGCACCTCATCCTCTCATGCCCTGCACTGCACCTCATCCTCTCCCATGCCCTCATCCTCTCCCATGCCCTCATCCTCTCCCATGCCCTCATCCTCTCCCATGCTCTGCATGTCAACTCTGCATGCCTGTGTCTCTAACCTTCTGTGTTTCCTAGTGCTCCACCTGCAACCACCTTCTGCCGCACTCTCTGCTTCCCAGCCATGCCCATCACTTGCTGCACTGCGCCGGCTCATGTGCGTCGCTCTCTCTCAATCCGCACTGCCCTGCCACTCGCCCTTCCCCTCCGTGTGTGCATGAGCCCCCCTCAGATCCGCCCAGTGGAGGAGACGGAGGAGGACATCATGCCGCGCATCCTCACCTGCGCCACCACCATCGCCCACCTCCTGCCCGCCGTGGGCCTGAATGACTATGAGGGCGGCAATGCCATGGTGGGTCGGCTGTGAGGGCAATGCCATCGTTGCTCACTCTGCTTCTGCATCATGTGCCCCTGTCTGTGTCAACCTTGTGCCCCTGTCTGTGTCAACCTTGTGCCCCTGTCTGTGTCAACCTTGTTCCTCTGTCTGTGTCAACCTTGTTCCTCTGTCTGTGTCAACCTTGTTCCTCTGTCTGTGTCAACCTTGTTCCTCTGTCTGTCTGTGTCAACCTTGTTCCTCACATGTTCCTCTGCTCATTGGCCCGTCCCACAGTTTCACGCATCCACCAATGCCACCACCACCACGGGTGAAGGCCCACCGGCAGCAGGGCGGTCAGCGGCGGTGTTTGTGGCGTCGCTGAGTGCGCGCTTTGGGCAGCAGCTGCGGCAGCGATTCGTCAGCAACCCGTCCTCTGATGGCTCGCTCATCGCCGTGCACTGGTGGGCTTCACATGATTGCGGGCGTGCATTCCACATGATGTTTTCTTGCATTCCATTGGCCTCTGCTACACCATGCCGTGCGACTCCAGCCCATGCCATGCATGCCAGTCCATGCCATGCATGCCAGCCCATGCATGCATGCCAGCCCATGCCATGCATGCCAGCCCATGCCATGCATGCCAGTCCTTGCCATGCATGCCAGCCCATGCCATGCATGCCAGTCCATGCCATGCATGCCAGCCCATGCCATGCATGCCAGCCCATGCCATGCATGCCAGCCCATGCCATGCATGCCAGCCCATGCCATGCATGCCAGCCCATGCCATGCATGCCAGCCCATGCCATGCATGCCAGTCCATGCCATGCATGCCAGTCCATGCCATGCATGCCAGCCCATGCCATGCATGCCAGCCCATGCCATGCATGCCAGCCCATGCCATGCATGCCAGCCCATGCCATGCATGCCAGCCCATGCCATGCATGCCAGCCCATGCCATGCATGCCAGTCCATGCCATGCATGCCAGTCCATGCCATGCATGCCAGCCCATGCCATGCATGCCAGCCCATGCCATGCATGCCAGCCCATGCCATGCATGCCAGCCCATGCCATGCATGCCAGCCCATGCCATGCATGCCAGTCCATGCCATGCATGCCAGTCCATGCCATGCATGCCAGCCCATGCCATGCATGCCAGCCCATGCCATGCATGCCAGCCCATGCCATGCATGCCAGCCCATGCCATGCATGCCAGTCCATGCCATGCATGCCAGCCCATGCCATGCATGCCAGCCCATGCCATGCATGCCAGTCCTTGCCATGCATGCCAGCCCATGCCATGCATGCCAGCCCATGCCATGCATGCCAGCCCATGCCATGCATGCCAGCCCATGCCATGCATGCCAGCCCATGCCATGCATGCCAGCCCATGCCATGCATGCCAGCCCATGCCATGCATGCCAGCCCATGCCATGCATGCCAGTCCATGCCATGCATGCCAGTCCATGCCATGCATGCCAGCCCATGCCATGCATGCCAGCCCATGCCATGCATGCCAGCCCATGCCATGCATGCCAGCCCATGCCATGCATGCCAGCCCATGCCATGCATGCCAGTCCATTCCATGCATGCCAGTCCATGCCATGCATGCCAGTCCATGCCATGCATGCCAGCCCATGCCATGCATGCCAGCCCATGCCATGCATGCCAGCCCATGCCATGCATGCCAGTCCATGCCATGCATGCCAGCCCATGCCATGCATGCCAGCCCATGCCATGCATGCCAGTCCATGCCATGCATGCCAGTCCATGCCATGCATGCCAGTCCATGCCATGCATGCCAGCCCATGCCATGCATGCCAGCCCATGCCATGCATGCCAGCCCATGCCATGCATGCCAGTCCATGCCATGCATGCCAGCCCATGCCATGCATGCCAGCCCATGCCATGCATGCCAGTCCATGCCATGCATGCCAGTCCATGCCATGCATGCTTCGATGCCATGGCATGGCATGGGATGCAGCAGCATGCCATGCCCTAACTCCCTGTGCGCTCACCCCCATGTTGTGCATGGCAGGGTGCATGCAGAGGAGAGCCAGAAGTTCGACTGGCCTCACTTGGGCACCGCGGTCATCGACATCTGGCTACTCGCACTCTGGTGAGACCTGCGCCCCTATCCAGAGCATTGCACACAGTGCAGTGCAACCCAACGCAATTGCAACGCTGCTCATATCACAGACTTGGCCAGCTATGCACCGCGTGCCCCTCCCATGATCCCTGCCTGTGCGTGCTCACCCCCCTCTGCGTGTCCACCTGCCTGTGCGTGTCCACCTGCCTGTGCGTGTCCACCTGCCTGTGCGTACGTGCCTGGCAGCGACTCATTCCTGGTGACGGAGGGGTCAACACTGGGCATGGTGGCGGCGGGGCTGGCGGGCGCCACGCCCCACATGATGAACGTCATGCTCGACACCTCCACCGCCCATGACTGGCGCTCCAACACCCGCCCCGAGTGCCAGCTCGGTGGCCCGGAGCCCTGCCTCAAGACGCACCACGGTCACGCTCAGGTGGGCAGGGCAGGTGGGCAGGGCTGGGGTGGGCAGGGCATGATGGGGTGGGCAGGGCATGATGGGGTGGGCAGGGCATGCATGGGGTGGGCAGGGCATGATGGGGTGGGCAGGGCATGATGGGGTGGGCAGGGCATGATGGGGTGGGCAGGGCATGATGGGGTGGGCAGGGCATGATGGGGTGGGCAGGGCATGATGGGGTGGGCAGGGCATGCTGGGGTGGGCAGGGCATGATGGGGTGGGCAGGGCATGATGGGGTGGGCAGGGCATGATGGGGTGGGCAGGGCATGATGGGGTGGGCAGGGCATGATGGGGTGGGCAGGGCATGATGGGGTGGGCAGGGCATGATGGGGTGGGCAGGGCATGATGGGGTGGGCAGGGCATGATGGCGTGGGCAGGGCATGCTGGGCTGGGCAGGGCATGATGGGGTGGGCAGGGAATGCTGGGGTGGGCAGGGCATGATGGGCTGGGCAGGGCATGGTGGCGTGGGCTGGGCAGGGCATGATGGGGTGGGCAGGGCATGATGGGGTGGGCAGGGCATGATGGGGTGGGCAGGGCATGATGGGGTGGGCAGGGCATGATGGGCTGGGCAGGGCATGATGGGGTGGGCAGGGCATGATGGGCAGGGCATGATGGGCTGGGCAGGGCATGATGGGGTGGGCAGGGCATGATGGGGTGGGCAGGGCATGATGGGGTGGGCAGGGCATGATGGGGTGGGCAGGGCATGCTGGGGTGGGCAGGGCATGATGGGCTGGGCAGGGCATGATGGGGTGGGCAGGGCATGATGGGCAGGGCATGATGGGCTGGGCAGGGCATGATGGGGTGGGCAGGGCATGATGGGGTGGGCAGGGCATGATGGGGTGGGCAGGGCATGATGGGGTGGGCAGGGCATGATGGGGTGGGCAGGGCATGATGGGCAGGGCATGATGGGCTGGGCAGGGCATGATGGGGTGGGCAGGGCATGCTGGGGTGGGCAGGGCATGATGGGGTGGGCAGGGCATGATGGGGTGGGCAGGGCATGATGGGGTGGGCAGGGCATGATGGGGTGGGCAGGGCATGATGGGGTGGGCAGGGCATGATGGGGTGGGCAGGGCATGATGGGGTGGGCAGGGCATGATGGGGTGGGCAGGGCATGATGGGGTGGGCAGGGCATGATGGCGTGGGCAGGGCATGCTGGGCTGGGCAGGGCATGATGGGGTGGGCAGGGAATGCTGGGGTGGGCAGGGCATGATGGGCTGGGCAGGGCATGGTGGCGTGGGCTGGGCAGGGCATGATGGGGTGGGCAGGGCATGATGGGGTGGGCAGGGCATGATGGGGTGGGCAGGGCATGATGGGGTGGGCAGGGCATGATGGGCTGGGCAGGGCATGATGGGGTGGGCAGGGCATGATGGGCAGGGCATGATGGGCTGGGCAGGGCATGATGGGGTGGGCAGGGCATGATGGGGTGGGCAGGGCATGATGGGGTGGGCAGGGCATGATGGGGTGGGCAGGGCATGATGGGCAGGGCATGATGGGCTGGGCAGGGCATGATGGGGTGGGCAGGGCATGATGGGGTGGGCAGGGCATGATGGGGTGGGCAGGGCATGATGGGGTGGGCAGGGCATGATGGGATGGGCAGGGCATGATGGGGTGGGCAGGGCATGCTGGGGTGGGCAGGGCATGATGGGCTGGGCAGGGCATGATGGGGTGGGCAGGGCATGATGGGCAGGGCATGATGGGCTGGGCAGGGCATGATGGGGTGGGCAGGGCATGATGGGGTGGGCAGGGCATGATGGGGTGGGCAGGGCATGATGGGGTGGGCAGGGCATGATGGGCAGGGCATGATGGGCTGGGCAGGGCATGATGGGGTGGGCAGGGCATGCTGGGGTGGGCAGGGCATGATGGGGTGGGCAGGGCATGATGGGGTGGGCAGGGCATGATGGGGTGGGCAGGGCATGATGGGGTGGGCAGGGCATGATGGGGTGGGCAGGGCATGCTGGGGTGGGCAGGGCATGATGGGGTGGGCAGGGCATGATGGCGTGGGCAGGGCATGCTGGGCTGGGCAGGGCATGATGGGGTGGGCAGGGAATGCTGGGGTGGGCAGGGCATGATGGGCTGGGCAGGGCATGGTGGGGTGGGCAGGGCATGATGGCGTGGGCAGGGCATGATGGCGTGGGCTGGGCAGGGCATGATGGGGTGGGCAGGGCATGATGGCGTGGGCAGGGCATGATGGGGTGGGCAGGGCATGATGGGCTGGGCAGGGCATGATGGGGTGGGCAGGGCATGATGGGGTGGGCAGGGCATGATGGGGTGGGCAGGGCATGATGGGCAGGGCATGATGGGCTGGGCAGGGCATGATGGGGTGGGCAGGGCATGATGGGCTGGGCAGGGCATGATGGGGTGGGCAGGGCATGATGGGGTGGGCAGGGCATGATGGGGTGGGCAGGGCATGATGGGCTGGGCAGGGCATGATGGGGTGGGCAGGGCATGATGGGGTGGGCAGGGCATGATGGGGTGGGCAGGGCATGATGGGGTGGGCAGGGCATGATGGGGTGGGCAGGGCATGCTGGGGTGGGCAGGGCATGCTTTAGGCACGTACCATATGATGGCTGCGGACACATTCCATGCTGCCCAGTTCTTTTGCTCCTCCATTTCTCTGCACTTGTCTCCATTTCTCTGCACTTGTCTCCATCTCTCTGCACTTGTCTCCACCGCCCCCTGTCCTCTCATCCCATCCTCTGCATCTGCCTTGTTTGTACCCATGCCTTGTTTCCACTGGTCTGTCCTTTACTCCTTCCTTTATAAGGGGTCCTTTCGCTCTTCTTCACGCACCATGCATGTCTCTCTCCCTCCGCACTTGTCCCTTCTCATGCCTGCCTCCATCGCAGTGTTTCACCTCCAGTACCTCTCTCTCGGGGCCTCCACTGCGACTATGCCACGGGACAGGCAGAGGATTCACCCTTGTGCCACCTGAATCGCCTCCACTATCGTTCAAGGCATGGTTACATAGTGTTGGGGAGGACTCAGCTGTGAAATGAATGAATGAACCTGAACGTAGGTCCAAGCTCAGCAGACATTTTTGCCAACATCCATTAGCTTGGTCTGAGTTCCAATCACGGATTTTTGTTGGTTTTTTTTCACTACACGTTTTAGTCACGTTCCCCTGGACCGATGATCGATGATGCTCGCAACCCTCCCACGATAACCGATGATGCTCGCAACCCTCCCACGCCCTAGCTGGCTTGGCAATAGACCCAGACAAGTGCAGCTACGTGATCTGACGGAAGAAAAACGCTCGGAACGAGCGCTTCCAGCCCCAAAACGCGGAAGGATCCGCACATGTGCAGGAAGTGCAGCGGGCGCTCTTCATTCGCGAGCGCCGATGACTGATGATGCTCGCAATCCTCCCACGCCCTTGCTGGCTTGGCAATAGGCCCAGACAAGCGCAACCACGTGACCCGGCGAAAGAAAAACGCTCGGAACGAGCGCTTCCAGCCCCAAAACGCGGAAGGATCCGCACATGTGCAGAAAGTGCAGCGGGCGCTCTTCATTCGCGAGCGCCGATGACCGATGATGCTCGCAACCCTCCCACGCCTTTGCTAACTTGGCAATAGGCCCAGACAAGCGAAGCCACGTGATCAGGCGGAAGAAAAACGCTCGGAACGAGCGCTTCCAGCCCCAAAACGCGAAAGGATCCGCACATGTGCAGGAAGTGCAGCGGGCGCTCTTCGTTCGCGAGCGCCGATGACCGATGATGCTCTCAACCCTCCCACGCCCTTGCTGGCTTGGCAATAGGCCCAGACAAGCGCAGCCACGTGACCTGGCGGAAGAAAATCGCTCGGAACGAGCGCTTCAAGCCCAAAAACACGGAAGGATCCGCACATGTGCAGGAAGTGCAGCGGGCGCTCTTCATTCGCGAGCACCGATGACCGATGATGCTCGCAACTCTCCCACACCCTTGCAGGCTTGGCAATAGACCCAGACAAGCGCAGCCACGTGATTCGGCGGAAGAAAAAAGCTCGGAATGAGTGCTTCCAGCCCCAAAACGCGGAAGGATCCGCATATGTGCAGGAAATGCAGCGGGCGCTCTTCATTCGCGAGCGCCGATGACCGATGATGCTCGCAACCCTCCCACGCCTTTGCTGGCTTAAAAAAGGCCAAGACAATCGCAGCCACATGAGCCGGCGGAAGAAAAACCCTCGTAACGAGCGCTACCAGCCCTAAAACGCGGAAGGATCCGCACATGTGCAGGAAGTGCAGCGGGCGCTCTTCATTCGCGAGCGCCGATCACCGATGATGCTCGCAACCCTCCCACGCCCTTGCTGGCTTGGCCATAGGCTTAGACAAGCGCAACCACGCGATTTAGCGGAAGAAAAAAGCTTGAAACGAGCGCTTCCAGCCCCAAAACGCGGAAGGATCCGCACATGTGCAGAAAGTGCAGCGGGCGCTCTTCATTCGTGAGCGCCGATGACCGATGATGCTCTCAACCCTCCCACGCCCTTGCTGGCTTGGCAATAGACCCAGACAAGCGCAACCACGTGACCTGACGGAAGAAAATCGCTCGGAATGAGCGCTTCAAGCCCCAAAACACGGAACGATCCGCACATGTGCAGGAAGTGCAGCGAGCGCTCTTCATTCGCGAGCGCCGATGACCGATGATGCTCGCAACCCTCCCACACCCTTGCTGGCTTGGCAATAGGCCCAGAAAAGCGCAGCCACGTGACCCGGCGGAAGAAAAACGCTCGGAATGAGCGCTTCCAGCCCCAAAACGCGGAAGGATCCGCACATGTGCAGGAAGTGCAGCGGGCGCTCTTCATTCGCGAGCGCCGATGACCGATGATGCTCGCAACCCTCCCACGCCCTTGATGGCTTGGAATAGGCCAAGACAATCGAAGCCACATGAGCCGGGGGAAGAAAAGCGCTCGGAACGAGCGCTACCAGCCCTAAAACGCGGAAGGATCCGCACATGTGCACGAAGTGCAGCGGGCGCTCTTCATTCGTGAGCGCCGATGACCGATGATGCTCGCAACCCTCCCACGCCCTTTCTGGCTTGGACATAGGCTTAGACAAGCGCAACCACGCGATTTGGTGGAAGAAAAATGCTCGAAACGAGCGCTTCCAGCCCCAAAACGCGGAAGGATCCGCACATGTGTAGGAAGTGCAGCGGGTGCTCTTCATTCGCCAGCGCTGATGACCGATGATGCTCCCAACCCTCCCACGCCCTTGCTGGCTTGGCAATAGGCCCAGACAAGCGCAGCCACGTTACCCGGCGGAAGAAAAAACATTCGGAACGCGTGTCAAATGTTATATCTGCTACAGTTTGTTTAGGCTGTAGTGGGGTAGTTACTATGGGGTACAGTAAGTTTAGGGTTTCCTACTTGTACCCAACTCTTTCCTAGTTCAATCACCCTTGTTGATTCTGACATGGTATCAGAGCAGGTCGACCCTCCCGGGTCGATCCTGTGGATGGGCCCACCGTTCGCTTCCGCTGCTGTCCTGCTTATCGCGCGCCTCGGGCGCGCGACGTTTTCTGCCTACCGCGCGATCGGGGCGCGCGGCGTTTTTTCTTCCCGCCGTGCGCTCGGGGCGCGCGGCGGTTTTCTGCCCTGCCCGTCGCGCACCTGCCCTGCCCGTCGCGCGCTCTGCCCTACCCGTCGCGCGCGCCTGCCCTGCCCCACGAGCGCCTGCCCTGTCCGTCGAGCGCCTGCCCTGGGGGCCCGCGCCCGGCCCCCCTTCCCGTCGCCCGTCGTGGCACCCCGGGGGCCCGCGCGTCAGCCCCTCCCGTCGCCCGTCGTGGCGCCCTGGGGGCCCGCGCGTAGCCCCCCTTCCGTCGCCCGTCGTGGCGCCCTGGGGGCCGCGCGTCAGCCCCTCCCGTCGCCCGTCGCGGCGCACTGGGGGCCCGCGCGCAGCCCCCCCTTCCGTCGCCCGTCGTGGCGCCCTGGGGGCCCGCGCGCAGCCCCCCTTCCGTCGCCCGTCGTGGCGCCCTGGGGGCCGTGCGTCAGCCCCTCCCGTCGCCCGTCGCGGCGCCCTGGGGGCCCGCGCGCAGCCCTCCCTTCCGTCGCCCGTCGTGGCGCCCTGGGGGCCGCGCGTCAGCCCCTCCCGTCGCCCGTCGCGGCGCCCTGGGGGCCCGCGCGCAGCCCCCTCCCCTCGCCCGTCGTGGCGCCCTGGGGGGCCGCGCGTCAGCCCCTCCCGTCGCCCGCCGAAACGCCCTGGGGAGCCGCCCTCTCTCGAGCTGCTGCCCGCGCACCGCCCCCCCCGCTGCTGCCTGTGTTAGGGTTTGGGGGTGGCGAGTGTGGGGGTGGCGAGTATGGGGGTGATGGGTGTGTGCGCCGTCCCCTACTCCTCCTCCTCCTCCGTCTCCCACTGCTGCAGCTGCCGCTGAGGGGGGTGGATGTGTGGGAGCCGTCGGAGTGGTACTAGGGGGGTGGCGTGTGAGCAGTGCTAGAGGTACAGCAGGGGGTGTGTGAAAGGGGTGTGGGACAGTTGGGGGAGGTTGAGTGCTATGATGCTATTCTCACTGCCATGTATGCATTGTCTACTAGTGCCGAGGGAGCCTGTCACCTGTGTGGGCCGCCTGACCCCGGTATCCAGTCTGCTGCTCCAGGTGCTGGTGAGGCTGCTGCTCTAGGCGCTCGTGAGTCTGCTGCTTCAGGTGCTTGTGAGTCTGCGCTTTCAGGTACTCCGTCTACTACGGCACTGCACACCTTCACACTGGACTCAGGTGCTTCCCGCTGTTTCTTTCGCGACCGCACTGCCCTCGAGCAGCTTCCTAGACCGGTTGCTGTCTCCCTGGCTGACCCCTCAGGGGGTCCGGTCCTTGCGACCTCCACCACTGCCCTCCCTTGTCCTGCTGTCCCGTCTGGCACACTGTCGGGCCTCTACCTCCCCTCGTTCTCTACGAACTTGGTGGCGGGTTCCGAGCTCCAGGACGGGGGTGTTCACCAGTTCACCCCTGCCTACGAGCGTGTGACGCACTGCACGTGTGCCCAGACGGGTCGTCACCTGGCTACCTTCACTCGGCAGCCGGGGTCGGACTTGTACACACTGACCACTGAGTCCCCTCAGGTAGCTGCGTCTGCGTCTGCGTCCGGTCAGCTGTCGGCCCCCTGCTCGTGTCGCTCCCTGTCGCACAGGACTGTCCTCTGGCACCACCGCCTTGGTCACCCGTCAGTGCAGCGCCTTCGCGGCATGCACTCCAGGTACCTTGTCTCTGGTCTTCCCAGGGTTCTCCCTCCCCTACCACCCTCGCCTGCTCCTCCCTGTCTTCCCTGTGTCGAGGGGCGGCAGCGCGCTGCTCCTCACTCTTCCTCGTTCCCTCCCACAGAGGCTCCCCTGCAGACTCTCCACCTGGACGTGTGGGGCCCCGCCCGCGTCCGGGGACAGGGCCACGAGCGGTACTTTCTGCTGGTCGTCGACGACTACACGCGCTACACCACGGACTTCCCCCTGCATACCAAGGGTGAGGTCCCTGATGTCTTGATCCCCTGGATCCGCGCTGCTCGTCTCCAGCTCCGCGACCAGTTCTAGTCGGACTTTCCTGTCCTACGTCTGCACTCTGACAGAGGTGGCGAGTTTTCCTCTGACCTCTTGGCAGCCTACTGTGCGGAGCACGGCATCCGCCAGACGTTCACTCTCCCGGCCTCTCCGCAGCAGAATGGGGTTGCTGAGCGTCGCATTGGTCTCGTCATGGAGGTCGCTCGTACCTCCATGATCCATGCGGCTGCTCCCCATTTCCTGTGGCCGTTTGCAGTGCAGTACGCCGCGCATCAGCTCAACCTTTGGCCCCGTGTCTCTGTTCCGGAGACCTCGCCTACCCTGCGGTGGACGGGGGAGGTTGGCGATGCGTCGGTGTTCCGAGTCTGGGGATGTCGAGCCTTTGTCCGCGATACGTCCGCGGACAAGCTCTCCTCCCGTGCCGTTCCCTGTGTCTTCCTTGGCTTTGTCCCTGACGCGCCTGGCTGGCAGTTTTACCACCCCACCTCGCGCCGTGTCTTTGCCTCTCAGGACGTCACCTTTGACGAGTCGGTACCCTTTTACC